TTTTCTAACATAAAAGCAAGAGTTCTGATTTGAAGTTTTTCCGACAAGATTTTTTTTGAAAATACAAAAAATTTCTTACTATTTTTATATAATTTCCAAAAACATATAATTTTCTTTCATCTATATTATTTTAAAATTAAAATAAATTATAAAAAATATAATTTAGTATAAAAAAGATCCATTTTACTATATTCTATTATATTTTGTAATCATTAGTTTGAATTTCCTCCAATACTAAAAAACACATCTAATAGTTTATTAATTAACAATACCCAACTGTTTTTTGGAAGAAAAAATCTTAAAGTTTCCGTAAGAAGCCTCTTTTACAGCAAGGTCAAACCGTCACATTATGTATGTCTATGAACAAATTAATCAATATCTAATATGCATCGATTACGAGTTGAATACTTTGACTAATGAAAATGTACTGATACCGTTCAACGCAAAAAGTTATCGAGTAAGTATTGAGTGGTTGGTTGAAATGTCATCCAATAGATCAAAGTTTTATAAATCTACATTTGAAGCACAGAAATCATAAATTATTTTTGACAAATATTATACAAAAAATAGATATTTAAATATCCAAAATAATTTTTATATAAGAGTTAAATTAATTTATATAATAACCAAATGTATGAATATGAAACACACCCCGGCCAATGGGCCGGGCACAAATCTAGTATATGGTTAGTCATTTTGGACTGATCGAGCTAGGGTTAACTCTTGCAAGACCGCTATATATACTTTTAAGATAGGATGTGAACCTGATCATCACATGATGTTTAGACGGATGAAATTTATAGTGAGAAGAAGAAGATACCTGACAACTTCGAGGGCAATGTTGAGAACATTGAAATTGAGGGGATCTTTCTCCAACTTTTCCTTCTCCGTGATGCATACCATAACCGACGAAGACTACCAAAAAAGTGAGTGGCGAGAATATCACATTCTCCAGAATAATAAGCTTTCTTTGATCTTTGTTGAGAATTGTTCCTCCCTGTCTAGTCCTTTTTGATTGCGGATTATCGTTTCTCTCTTCTTCTTCCTGTTTTCCTCTTGTGGGTAGGAACGACGTGTATGGAGGAAGATACCTGCCAACCCGACAGTATGTATTAAAGCTAGCTCTGTATATATATCAAGTGGCTTGAGAATAATTAATGGCCAATTATCAATGATTGTTGGGTTGTATGAATTCAAATATTATATTTGAGTTGCAAAATAAGCGTAGCGATATATATGTATTTCACAAACCTCTCGTTGTGAAAAATAATGAATTGTGTACACTATAAATTATATTCCTGTTTATCTTATTATTTTTATCGACTGACACGCTTCTCCAAAAATACTGGACACGCTACCGGTCATAACAGTCATTAAGATTAAATAGAAAAAGACAATCTTTTCAAAAACCCTAAATCATATATATGTCTACAAATGTTCAACAAAAGAACTACTAATTCAAAAAACCCACCTATAATTTCCCATGTTAGGCCTGCTTGGATTAAGGATTTCGATGAGGGATTGTGACACAAAAAATTTGTTTGAAAATATTTTTTAATATTAGTGAGTTAAAAATCTCTCAGTCGTGGCTTTTTTTAAATGACTTATCACCATCAACCATTTCCCAATCGCTCATTTTTCTCTTTCTATCCCCTCCCCTCCCCTCAACCCAATGATTTCCTTATCCTCCATCTCTTCCATTCAGTTTCTCATCCTCCCCCTCGATTTGAAGAAACCTAGTCGTCGTCCTTACCCAATCATGTTGTCCCTTCCCAACCCCTTCGTCCCTTTCAACTCTCGATCGAATCCCTTCCTCATCCGAGTGAAGAACCGGTGGGATTTTCGGGTCATCAATTTGCGACATCTGGAAATCGATCAACATCACGGGGATTATTCGAGAGGTGGTTACGAGAAAGGCAAACCCTATGTCTACAATCTTGAAGAGAAGAGACGAGCCTCGCTGTGATCAAAATTCGAAGCCATTGGGTTGGGTCAAAAAGTATGAATTCCGACTTCAATCATCCGAGTTGTCTCCTCACTTTAAACGTCATCACTGCAACGGTGCAACCAAATTGCAAGTCCATATCTCCGACAAGATTGAGAGCCATATATATATATATATAGCAAAGGCTAGCGTACGCCTGTGTTCACACCTATTATTTGTACATAAATAATTTCAACGAACCAGATGCGTTGATTTTTCAGTTTGAGATTATTAAATGAATCTTATGATTTGGGTTAGAAAACTGGGGACGGGGTTCACCCTTTAGAGATTAGGGCATAGTATGATGACCCAAACTCTAGCTAATTCAAGATCTAAATAACAAAAATGGATGGACGTAAGGTAAAGATCTAAATAACAAAAATGGATGGAGTAAGGTAAGGTAATTGTCTGCCAAGCGTACACTAGTAGGGATGACAATCAAACCCATGGTTACGAGTACCCCACCCATAAAAAAATGAGGCTTCATGGTCTCGTCTCCACGGTGATGGTGAGCGATGCCGACGAGATGAATATGCCAAGCAGTGCCTCACCGAAAACGATTAGCAGCTAACCGCATAAAAACCTATCTCTTATGATGTTCGTCTGAGTGTTGACAATGGCGAGACCAAAGGAGTTGGTCTAGGAAAGCAACAGAAGCAAGCTGAGGAAGTTTGACAACCAAAAAAAAAAAAAAGACGGAGGAAGAAGAACATAACATGACGCCCCCTTCCTCCGCCGCTGCCGTGGTCTCGCTCTGTGCGCTCCCAGTCAATTGCGGAAGAGCGTGGCGCAGGATCGGATTCGCTCCTTTTAATGATTGTTATCGGTAGAGGTGGCAATTGGATCGGATTCGTGGATTGGATTGGTGGATCCATGGATCAAATGGATTGGTGGATTCATGGATTGGATCAAATGGATTGGTGGATTGATCCATAAATCCAAATGACATCTAAGGCTTGGACCAAAATGTAAAATTTGAAAAGTTTTGGTACTAAAATGTCATAATGAAAAATTTTAGGTACCAAAATGTAATTTTCCAATGATATTTTTCGTATAAATATAAATTTTAGGTACCAAAATGTAAAATATAAAAAATATAGGTACCAAATCGTAATTTGCCAGTTGGATCCATGGATTGATCCATGAATCCACCAATCCAATTGGATTTGGATAAAATGGATTGGATTTAAATGGATTGGATTAGATGGATAATTTGGTGGATGGATTGGATTGGATTCATGGATTTGGATCCCAATTGCCACCTCTAGTTATCGGTACCAAATTTTTAGCTGTAGCAGTAATAATAAAAAAAGAATCAGAGTTCGATTGAGGCTTATGGCCTGTTTCAATTCATTTTGATGCAGCTGTTGAGTGCTGTGAAGGGCGCTCTTCCGTTTGTTCGTTTTGTAGGATTTTGCGATTTCATCCGCTTTCAATCGGCCAACCGGTTCGTACTTTCCTGTTCAAATTGACGACCGGCAATTTTCTCCGGCAGTCAGATGTCAGAACCGCCGCTTGCTGCTCGCCGATGTTACTTCATACTAATCCGAAACAAGATCTCTTCGCCATCTACTTCGCCATCCTATCGCTCTCCGCCCTGGCCGCCGGGCTCGAGCTGCTGTGTTTCTTCTACGCCACCGCCGGATCCACTTACTTCTGCCTATGCTTCTCCAGACCTTGGCGTGTGAAGAACTTTGGTTTGCATAAAAGCTTGTAAAGATGGATAAAGGACCTCTGCAGAGCTCTCTCCACCCACAACAAGATTCCCCTTCGACCCTCTAGCTCTCAATTGCTGCTCCACCTCATCTTCTGCCGGCTCCATCTCCCTCTCCGCCTCATATACTAGTTGCACTGGGTACAACTACAGCTAGAATCACTGCGACTCCTTTCAGCCTTCCGGTCGGCGGCGGTGCCGGCCCCCGCATCCCGATACACGCGTAAGGGCCTTTCCCTCGCCACGTGTCCTAATCAGCTGCAACGTGTACGACCGTAAGCGATTTAAAGCTTTTGTTGTTATCCTAATCTGCCAAAGAGCACCAAAGAAGTCACGGGCCTGGCCTTACGGTTCTGCTCGTTGGGCCGCTATTACTTGATTTTATGTGACAAACCATTTAAGTTGGGCGCAGTTGCTCGTGGGCTGAGTTTAGCAGCCTGTTTGGATTGTGTCCTTTATGTTTGTTGTTTTGCAGGTTGTATTACTCTCCCCAAAGCCACAAAGGTGCAGCGACCTTCTTCATGCCTAGGCTTTGGATAGAGTTTGACTATCGAATTGCAGGTGGTGCTGTCCGGAATGGATAGATGTGTTTCTTTTTGCAGGGAATGGATATTCTGCTTTTGCTATTGCTATTGCCAAGGATGATATACCTCCGACTTTCAGGTTTTGGTGTGTGTTGTGTACCCGCTTGTATCCTTTGTTGCATATTAGGATACTGACAGGGCTGCCCCTTGAGTGGCTAAAAAGGCTCTTTTATCGGCGGATTGATTAGCTATCGACCGCCGCATTTAATTATTTTATTGTTTTACTTATTTGTAAGCATACTGCATTGTACACCTATCTATGACAGTTTACCACTATCTATGACAAAAAAAAAAAAAAAAGGAGTTGGTCTAGTTCAATTATGTTAGACTAAAGGTGTTGGTCGGCGGGAAGAGTCCCCAGATGGCAAGTACGAAGTAGACGAGCGAGATGAGGGTCGACTTTCGAGGAGCAACCAACCCTAAAAATGAGTTGGACATTAAAATAGATTAAATTTTATTTTATTTATTATTTTTTAAATGTCACGTTACTAAGTTAACGGTCAACTTTGAGAGTTGACTGCCATATCAGCAAAAGTTAACGGAGTTGGACGGAAAGTGACCAAACTTGAACGATTTCAGTAAACTGAAATATCATCAATGTATTTAAATATTTCGAGTGACTAAATTTGAACGTTTTTTTTTAATCTCAGTGACCAACCATGCAATTAACCCAAAATAAAATGGTAGGAAAAGGAAGCAAAAAGTCGCACTAGTTTCTCATCTTCTTCCTTTCCCGACCTTGCTCCGTTCTATTTTTCTGGTCCATCGAGTTAGGGTTTTGGGAATTGATAATTCATCCCCACGTTACCAGATAATCCTGCAGTTCTCTGGTGTCTCTCCATATTTGACTCCGCGCGACTTCTAGCGGGCTGAAAGCGGGCCACAAGCAATCGCAGAAGCTGACTGCGGCAAGCGGCGGCGGTTGTTTTCTCATTACGGGTGGCGAAGGCGCAAATTGGTATATCTTGATTGAAGCCGACTTCTGTTTCTTCCTCAGGTAATTATCAGGCGATCAATATAATCAGCTTTCGACTTTCGCAATTTTTGAGCACTTGGGAGACGGTGTTTCTTTCTATCTGAACGCTGCCTTTCGTACCTTTGCGATTCTTTTTTTGTTTAAAAATTGCTCGTCGGCTAGAACTATAGCCCATTTTACATCTGTATAACCTCTGCATTCGCTTCTTATATATTTTAGCTGGTTCGTAGTGTATTGACGGCACAACTTCTGCTGTGCTCCTAATGCGTTTCTTGCTTGGTGTTATCTTATCTCTCAAAGGGTTGTTAGCTAGCAGATACGATGCTGGAATTTCGGGCTGGTAAAATGCATTTGGAGGGCAAGAAGGTTGTCCCTGATACACGGAAAGGGCTGGTTCGCATAGACAGGGTACACTGCTATTATCTTTTTACATTTTCTTCTGTTGAGTTATCATGCGATAGTCAAGTCATGCTCATTTTTAGCCATATGTTCGAGTTGGTGTCTTATGAAGTGAATGTGAACTCTGGATGTGGGTTTATCTTCATTAAGCTTAAGTCGTTATTGAAGAATGATCATGGAGTCCAACGCTGACGAAGCTTGTGTTAATCTGTTTCTGTTTTGTGATTATCAGGGAGAAGAGGGATTAATCCATTTTCAGTGGCTTGATCGCACCCTTAATGCTGTTGAAGATGTATCCTGGCTTTAATATCACTCGTCCGCATTCTCATTGTTGGACGCTTTCTGTATGCCCACTACCTACGTTGTTATTGTACCCTTCAATTCGATGTTAGGAACAATGCTTGCATTTCCCTATGTCAATGTGCGCTCTTTCTTGTTAAGTGTAGTTATCAGAGGTTTGACAATTTGGTAATGAAAGATCTTAGTTTGGTATCCTATGCGAAGGGAGCAGTTTAAGTAATAGGTTCGCTATTATAATTGAAATAATTATTTTTGGGTTGCTTGTTAACTTTCATTTATCTTCACCCCAATGCAAAATATGATGCTTTTATTCTAATCAGAAATGGGAATTCCATCTGAGAATATGTCAATTGCTTTGCAATAACATAATTTCAGTTTCACCCCAAAAAATCAGAAATGCTTTCCCAACTTCAGTAGTGGTTCCTTTTAAACTTTCTTTCCTTTCATTTTGATGTACATTGTTTACTGCAGCATTTGGCTGGATTAGTCAGCCTGTTTCATATCCCTCTTTCTTTTGCTGTGTATGTGCTCTGTTCTGTTAAACTTATTACGGAACAGTTTTCGTACTTCAAACCAGAAGCTAAAAGTAATTTATATTGCCTTTTTTCTCTTTTCGTCTTCTGGTATGTGTGGCTTCCTTCTAGTTTCATCTTTTATGTAGGTCAGAAGTAACTATAGTTGCATTTACTTGAATTCCTGTCTTGGTAAAGGATTTGCAGCTATGTTCTGGATGGAATTTTGAGAATGTCGACGGGGATGCCCCATGTTTCAATTCTCTGTGGTCCCATTTGGTCTTATAACTGTTCCTTGCTCTTGTCAAAGTACTGCAATTCTGTTTTTCCTTGACACATGTTTTAATAGGATCAGATAATTTTTCCTGATGAGGCAGTTTTTGAGAAGGTATGTTCCGTTCTATCTTTCTTGTTCATGACTGTTCCTTAATATATTATGAGCTCATTTAGGTATCATACTTTTGGTTTTAGGTCGGTCAAGCATCAGGAAGGGTGTACATCTTAAAGTTCAATACAGATGACCGGAAATTTTTCTTTTGGATGCAGGTCTGATTTGTTTGTTGTATTTTTTTTCTTTCCTCCCTTCCCTCATATTCATAAGTGTGCTTAGTCTGTAACCTTACTAGGTTGTTTTTAATGCTCTGCTTTACAGGAACCTAATGCGGAAGGAGATGAAGAGTTATGTACGTCTGTCAACTATCACATCAATAGACCTTTAGGTACTTGACGTTTGACATTATCATATCCTTTGAATGCCCATTAAGTGCTTATTGTTCGGAGCCTACCAAAGCATCCCTTGAAAAAATGAATTGTTATTGTGTGGTAGCTTGTCACTTGACTTTGTTTCAACTATTTTATTATGGAATTAACGATCTTTTGGTGCGATTTTACTGGTTTATCATCTTTATCTCCGTCACTATTATTTTTTACTTGAAGCTTAAAGATGGGAATATTTTATTTATTCATAGCTTTGTTCACTGCTTTTCTGATTGTCATCCCCTTGGAAAACATGTATGAAGGAGCTTCCACTCCACCTTCAGTGGATTTATCAATGATCATTCTCTTATGTATTGCTATATGCCAGAAATTCTAGAAGAAGAGCCAGATACTACTGCTCTTCAAATGTCTGAAGACATGGTTGAGGATGAAATTTCGTCACGGTATGTTTTTTTATCAGCCCTCAGTACTTCTGTTTTAACACAAGAGAGAGAGAGAGAGAGAGAGAGAGAGAGAGAGAGAGAGAGAGAGATAGAGAGATGGATGTATTTGTGCGTCGTCTATGCATTTTTAGAGATAGGAATGAGTCCTAACCTCTGGAAGGCTTTTGCAAAGGAAGAACGGATCATGCCTTGTTGTACAATATAACCAGCTATGTCGTTTGTGCTTCTGATTGGGAACTCCCAGCAGAATTGTCCTTTTATTAACTGGATTCAGATACTTTTCTCTTCCGAGAAGTTAACCTCAAGGTTTCTGATCTTTACCATGCTTCAAGTTCCTATCTTTAAGTAACAAAAAAAGAAGGAAAAGGGTATCCCTATGTTTGTGCCTGATCTTCATGATTCGTGGGATTAGTTGGGAGTGGCAATGACCCTGGAAAAATATTCATGACTTCATTGGATGCTTTGATCTTATTTGCTATTTTAATGCAACTTCCAGAGCTGGAAACCTGGTGCTTCCAAACCTAGGTTCAGGATCAATGAGTGATGTTACCTCTTCATCAGGACCAGTCAGATTGGAAGATCTACAACGAATATTGAGCAATATCGAGCCTGGAGGTATTTATTTTTCTGATTCACTTTGATCAATTCTCTTGATTGGTCCATGTTCATCTCTGACACATGTATTTTCAAAATTGGCAGAGAGTGCTGGAGATCCAGATGGAGGTAATTTTTGCATACCCAGGCATATAGTGCATTAGTGTTGTGATTTCTGATGTGGTACAGGTTTCAGTGAATCAAATTTATGTTCTCTAATCTTCCCTTCACAAACTGGCTTCTATTTCGTCTATAATCCCACATCACGCTGGTTCTGCCGATTTATTCACCTTAACCGTTTTTATTTTATTTTATAATAATGATGAATAACCAACAACTGGACCTTGGTACTCGGGAGATGATGGTTCAAAACTATTCTTCCTGCTTTAGATGTAGATGAAGCTGAAGTAATTACAATATGACTTTTCCTTCCCTCCTGTGGTTTAGCATGTGGCTTTTGATGTCATGCATATTCGACATGTTGGGCTACATTAGCCTGTTTGGTTACCTACTTGCTACTAGTTCTCCTGAAAGTATAATCAGTAATTTCCTCCTGAGAGTTGTGGAAGTGTGAGAACAGTAAACCTAGCTCCCTCAGCCAGTAATTAATGTACATTTGATTCTTATCATCTGCCTTTGTGTTGTTAGGTTTTGGGCTGGGGGATATCTTTAGGCCTGATCTAATAATGCCATTGATGGATACATTGCCAGTCGAAGAAAGATTGGTATCTTACCTACCAGAGGTACGAAATTTGGGTTTTGTTTGACCTACCTCCTTTCTGAAGGGCTGTTTTGAGATAATTTTACTCAATCACAGGGTCCATGGACTCCAGAGGATATTCTAGAGTTGTTGCAGAGCGCACCTTTCCGTCAGCAAATAGATTCTTTTACCTATGTAAAGACTCCAGGCCTACCTAGTCAGTTCTTTCTTCTGTTGTATTGGACAGCAACTAACATTTCTAGTTTTTTCTTTATTCCTTTTCTCTTTGAAGGTTTTGAAGACTGGGCAGATTGATTTATCACAGTTTGGTGTTGATCCCAGTAAATGTAAGTAATAGAATCACAGAACCTGTGTTCATTCTGCACTTTTTCATGATTTAAGGACTTCCAATCTTCCATGTCCTGTTGTTTTCGTAATGATGTGTGGTGGCTGAATCCCATGAAAAATTCAGTCCAATTCCTGGGTCCATATCCAAGATGATGTAAAGAGAGATATGTTACTTTCAGTTTGGTATTTTCTGAGCCTTCAAAGTCGGAAGCATTTCAACAGTTGCTTAGACCTGTTTGCATGGAAGAGTGATGGGCCAAGATTCTGTGTCACGTAACAATGTCAGAAGTATGGGCTGTTGTGAATGAAGAATGGTACTGCTGTTCACCGGCTGCTGGTATTTGGTTGCGGCCTCTGGAGGGCTCCGTTTGATTCAACCAGTAGACGACTCGTTAGTGCAGTTTAATTTGAGGGAATAAGTGAACGAATTGTACTAAGTTTTGTAAATGAAAAAAATAGATTCAGGAAACTTTCATGTTATAGAAGGGGGAATGGGTAAAAACTGAATTTAGAAGCATTTCACATCAGTTTAGTTTGAAGTTATAAGCTGTAGGGGCTTACTCAATATAGAAGATAGCTATTTGATAAGCTAGAGCCACCAACAGGTGCCGTACTGATAGTATCGAATATGCTTGTGGCTGACATGGATATTGTTGCTGTTGGAATCTGTTCTCGAAATGGCGTAAATGTGATGCATCAGTGAACTCTATATGCTGACAATTTGTTACTTTTTCCTGATACTTCTTTCCTTTTGAAACCCTGCAGATAGATTCACAGTATCTTCTTTTCTGGAAGCTCTTGAAGATTCAGTAACAAAAGCAGAGGAAAAGGACTTGAGATCCGAGCCTCCGAATGAGCCCATGGACGAGAGTCGCTGAGACAGGACTGCATGTCTGTTTAGAAGTATATTTCTGATCTGATTGTAGGGGATGTAAACAAAGGGCTGGGCTGGTAACTTGAGATCCTCTTTTATAGCTTTGTTTCCCAATGTAGACACATTTCACTAATCAAAACGATCGATTAGGTTGTTTGAACTTTGATGTGCAACTGTATGCAAAATGCTACATTTTTTGTACAGTTGCAAACTCATGTTGCAATTTTCGGCATGGCGGATGCTATCATGTTGTCCAAATTTCTAATGTTACTTATGCGTTGGTGCTGTCACAATAAAATGGGGTTTCTTGCATGCAAAGGCTCGCCATCTTCAGATAAAGCCACTGTTGTTGATGCCCATTCACAAAATGGAGCTATGATGACGTAGCATTTCTAGTCATTTGGAGTTGGGTTATAGATCAAATAGCTGATTCACAGAAGCCAGTAAAAGGAGTGCTAAATCTTCACTAGTAATCTTATTGATAAGCAAAATTTGAGCTCAATTCATCGACAAAAAGGACGAAAAATAAACTAAAGTAAAGCTTGGTTTGATTACCATGGATTTGTGAATTCGGCAACAACCTCTCGGTATCGTGATTCTTACAAGCAAACCATGTATCTCAAGGATCGAGTATAGATTAGCACAGACAACAGCAGAAGGGGTAGATAACAATCATCCTCATCTTGTTTCTATAGATCCCTAGCAAAACTTGGACGTAATAGCCCAACTCAAACCTGGAAGTAGGCATTAATTCAATCATCAACTGGGCTTGCGAAGAAGCTCCTCAGTAGGAACCTCGAGTGTTGCATCAGCATGTTCCTTGCTGGGCTTCACCTCTGCATATATCGTTTTCACAAGTTTTAGTTCCAGCATACAATTTGATACAAATAGCGTTGCAACGTTTCCCTAAACAGATTAAAAAAAAGGTTCCAATCTTGAACGAAAAGTTTAATCGAAAAGCACCCCTTTTCTATGACCCATGAAGAGGGTCTTAGCCAACTTATGGCCCCATCTTTCTTGCCAGGCACGAGACTTGCAGGCTGTTGGAATCAGTGGCCTCATGGCCCCAGAGCCATTGGATCTAGTCAGTGGCACATTTGTAATTGATGGCTCTGGGGGTGCGCGTCCAGAGATCCAACGTCCAACACGCCTTTTGGGCAGAAAGGATGAGGTCATTTCCCCCCCTAGCATAACCTCATTTGCTGCCTCACAGGCAGAGCAGTGGTCATTCCAACTGATCTTTCTGCAGGTCCTTTCTGTTACAGTTTCTAGGCTAATATCATGACAATTTTTTAGTTACTTCCGTCATGCAACCGATTTCTCAAAGAACTTAGATGAAGATTTTTCAGTGCCTCCTTAATGGAGGCTAGCTCATGAACGATGGAAAACCCTTCCCAAGCAACAAAGAGGATGGATGATCAAAGGAATTGGTCCAAGAACAGTGGATAAATATAGCAGATGAAGAGGAAAGGCATACCATAGCCACCGCGTTCGTTCAACTTAGCTTGAACAATCATCGTTGATATAAACTGGGATGCTTCATTTGCCTCTTCAAGGAGCCTTTTGATCTCAGCCTCGGATGTAACCTGACGATTCTCATCAAATTTCTTCCTGATCTCCATAGCTGAACCATTCAACATCAACTGGTCACCAGCAAATGATTTACGAGTAGCTCTCAGCAGAGATTTGTATGCAGTTAGTACTTCTGTTCGCAGCATCTTTCAAGCTTGTTTTTGCTGATGCTGATATCTAGACTTGAATAAGCTAATCAAACTAATAAGAGCATGCAAAGGAACGTTTTCAGACAAAAAAATCATGCATCATTGATTGAAAAATGAATCAGATGAAGGAACACACAAGACTTTGCTCAAAGGCAGGAGCAACCATGTGTTGCACCAATTTGAATACTGAAATAGGTATTTGGCATCACTGACTTAACTGAATCCAAACATATTGCCAAAATTGAAATGAGCTTGAAATAGGTATTTGGCATCATTAATATCCTCAATGACAAAGAAAAGTACCCAAATCAAGAGACACATCTCAGATGTTCATTTCACATCAGCATGTCTAGTAAACCACTATACAAGAAGAAGAAAAAAGAGCCCTTTGCAAATTTAGCATACTAAAGATGGACTACATGAAATACTAAGTGGAAGAACAATTGGAACTAACACCAACCACATGAATTCATCTGCCAAAAACTAGCACAATGATAACAAGCATTCAGACAAAGAATTCAATTTCATTCACTGCATCTGAAACTCCTCCGTCGGAGTATAAATTCCTAAATTTGATTGAAGCTTTCAATTCTCCAATAAAAAAACCCTAAAATCAATCCTAGCCTGAATGTTGCCGGCGGATCAAATCTGGAAAACTCATTCACCTAAACGACTAACAGAGAGATCCACAGCACTAAAAATTTCTCGTCCTCTATAATTCATACCCAGAGAGAGATAGCGAGAGGGAGACTTACTTCGCCGGCGTTCGTGACAGTAGAAAAGCAGCAGCAGCAGCGGCGGCCGGCGGGTGATGCTATTCAGTGCTAAGCTGAGCCTGAGAGCCTCTCTATTTTATTTCTTTGTTTCCGAGTTTCTCCTCTCTCTAAGCCCACAAGACTTCCGGTGCGGGTGCGGGTCGCCCGACCCGTCATATTCCTTCAATTTCCACAATTACCCTTTCCCATTATATAGCGGGTCGCTCTATATAAGGAAAAGCTCTTTCCCCTAATTCGGATCGTTACTTCCGACGTCTCTCCGGCTACAGCATTCCTCGCCGGCGGCGATGCTTCGTCCACTACTCGCAAGTCACACCCACTGACTCACCTAGGACTGGTAATTTTGACCTGACGCGATTTTCCCGATCTGTTTGGCCTGTTTTGGGCGGGTCAGGCCCGCCCGTATGCAAGCCGGGGTGGACATGGGTACCTCTCATCGAACCAATCTGCCCTGACCCGTCCCATTCTCGACTTGTTCTTGCCTAAATTACATATAATCTTAGTCAAATTACTTAGGATTTTCCTCTTATTACATTATATTTTAGCTATAATAAAGTTGCAATTAAGTATAAACCTCAATTTCTTCAATAATTTAACTATATTTTATCATATTATGGTTTCTTTCTTAGTATTTTAATGAAAATAACGAATATTTTTAATATTTTTCACATAAATTACATATCCATTGGGTCGACTGTCCCAACCACGTCCCGTAATAAATTACCCGACTTATCATGGAGCGGATATGGGTATCGAGATACCCGCCCCAGACCCCTAATGCCTCTTACCATCACGCGTAGGGGTGGAAATCGGTACGGTATCGGTATCCCAATACCGAAATACCGAATACCGAATTACACCCTAAAATCAATCCCAATCCCAATCCCTAAATAATTTCGGTATCCCAATCCCAATCCCTAAATAATTTCGGTATCCCAATCGGTACCTCGGTATCCCAATCGGTATTATCGAATACATAATTAATTAACTTTGCAATTAATAATTAAATATATAAATTAGATTTTATTGTTTAATTTAGGGCATAGAGACTAAGCAAATAGTCTTGAGTTGCCTAGAGCTAACATCTCAAGTTCTTGTAATTGGTAATCTTTAATTTGACGAATTTGAGGTTGAGAGACGACTAATATTAGTGTGAAATAGTAATGTAATGATCTATTTATAATTAAATGACACTTTTGGTGGTTGAGGGTCGCGTAGTAGTGAATGAGAGAGTCTAGTTGAGAGGATAAAATACACACTAGCTTATATTTCGGTATTGATCGGTATTTCGGTATATACCGATCCCAATCCCGTAATCCCTAATACCGAATAACAATTGAAATTCAATCCCAATCCCAATCCCACAAAATAATACGTGTATTCGGTAATACCAAATATAGACAAATTCGGTACGGTATTCGGTATATCCCAAATACCGGTACCAAACTTCCAGCCCTAATCACGCGCCGGCCGCCCGGCCGACCGATCGGCTGCTGCTTCTTCCTCAGCTCGCGATTCCTCCTGGACATGATAATTTCTCTCCCGGCGGTAGCTTCCGACACGAATTTTGCAAACATAAATCTTCCCAAAATTTTTTTTTTTTTTTTTAGATTGGAACATTAATGTGACTTTCCTTCTGTATTTAATCCGTACTAAACATGAAAACTTAGAATTTAATACATTTTAATTTCCGTATTTAATTCGTATTTTGCACAAAAAATACGTATTTTGTTACTGTTGAAATTACGTATAAAAGATTTAATAATACTTCATAATTAACGAGAATGACGTAGGGTTTAAAGTTTAAACTTATTCCGCGTTTCTTGTGTGGATCTGTACAAAAATTCAAACTTTGTTCACTTTCCTTTTCTGAATTACCGCGTCATTTAATTTTTACTGTTCTTTTATCCCTGTTTGGGTAAGAAAAGACTTCCTCTTTAAAAACGAGTCCATATTCATTAGAAATCCGGCTACTTTTTTCCGTTTCCGTCGAGTTCCCGATCTTCACCGGACTCGGACTCTTCCCGACATATAAAATAATTTGACTCTCCAAACAGATTCCCCCACAGTAGATTAGTTTTTATCCATTGAACAAATTCAACTGTTCAAGCTGTAGATAGCAGTAGTTGACTAGTTGTAGCATTACGATGACGATTCCCGTTGATCAGCTCGTTCCAGCTGCCCCCGCCGGCGGAGGGGAATTCCCAGCTCAATGCCGCTTCGTCCTCCCATGCCTGGTCCCCGATTTTTCCCAGCAGAACGGCGGCGACGGCCGCCGACTCCACCGATGGAGGCTGGTTCCCCTTGTGCCCAATTTGGGTGGAGGAACGACCACATTGAGGCAGCTGATAGCCGCCGCCGGCGGCGGCAGCGGCGGAGTTCGCGGTGCTGAAATTTACCGTTCCTCGGCTGCCAATTTGGATTCCAGAAAGCGGCCCAGGACGATTACCGGAAAGCCCAGTGAGCTGGAAATTCCACAACCGCCACCGCCAGAGTCCCCTGTTTCCGTGAGCGAAGATTCGGGCCCCGAATCAGAGGACTCGGAGCCCCGCAAACGGGCGAGGAGGTCCGAAGAGCCCGATCCGAAACCGGCAGCCGTTGCCCCTGTACCATTGATCATTGACGTCGACGACGACGACGACGACGAGGAGAAGGAAAAATTTCCCCCCACCGGGCTGACCTTCTCCGACGAATCGCGGCGGGCGGGTCACCCGGACCCGGGAAGGACCCGGCTCGCACCGGCAAAACAGAGCGAGAGCGAGACGTGGAGGAAGCTGACCCGGATGAGAAATTATACCCGGGAAGACGAGGAAGAAGAGAGGGAGAAAGGGGTTAGCACAAAACTGAACCTTTACGAGGATCCATGGACGATTAGGCAGAGGGTCAAGATGATCGAAGCAGAGGACCCGAACCCGATGCTGGCGCTCCACGCGAATGCAGGGAGGTACGTCGCCGGGCTGTTGACCAAGGAGGATCTGGCGAGGCTGGTCAACGATCGGAGGCCGGTGAGGGTGCGGATTTGGGACGTCGACACGGAGAGTGAGCACGAGGCGGAGCTGGTGCGGAGGCGGCTGTGGTTCGGGTCGGGGATGCACTGGGTCATCGGTTTCGCGGGGGATTGGTGGTCGGAGTTTGTTCGGAGGAGGGGATTGGAGGAAGGAGATGAGATCGGGATGAATTGGGATCGTCTTCATTTCCGATTCAATTTCCGGCTGATTGCGCGGGCCGCCGGCGGTAATTGAGTCTCTCTCTCCCTCTTTAGAGGTCGAGTTTTTTTTTTTTTTTTTTTTGTGTATTTGTTTAAACCAAGTCGAGATTACTCACCAGTCACCAATGGTGTGATAAAAGAAATACAAATTTACATTCTCTTTTTTTATAGTTTAAGAAGTTGTAATGGGTAGTAACAATTTTGGATTGATGATAAATGTGACGAGTGTAACCGTCACGTATTTTATATTTACCACTTTATATAATCATCTAATCAAATTATACGAGTGAGAAAACAAAATTTGAAATCGTCATCAATTTTACTTGACATGAGTGACCCCTCCCCTATCTCTTTTGAGCTATCTTTTCAAACTCAAATTAGCAATATAAAACTATTGAATGAGAAACTTTATTATTTGATAAAATTTGTGAAATTGTTCTCGATTGTATGTATTTGGATCTTACATTGCAGTTGGAGCATCATGTTTCTACTTCGGATAACCTCAATGAGGTGAAAATAGAATAGTGAGATCGCTCCAACTAAATCCACATGATGATAATGAAGTGCTTTATTCCAAAAGCGTTTCGGGGCTTTATGAATGAGAGAGTGAGAGCGCCAAGAGGTACCTTGGGGAATTGTTCAGCACTTTGCAAAGAGTGAAAAGTCAGAGGCAAGTAACCTTTTGGGTAAACTTGATTCCATGAATTATAAAACTAAGGGTATATAGGGGTACATTATGGAGCTGTCTAATCTCACATCAAAACTCAAGTCACTAAATTTAAAATTGTCTGAAGACTTGTTTGTGCACTTGGTTTTGATTTCTCTCAATGCATATTTGGGGCGATTCAAAGTGAATAAAATACTTAGAAAGACAAATCGTCTCTTAATGAGCTTATATCTCGGTGTGTGCAAGAAGAAGAGAGACAAGCCAGGTATAAGATTGGGAGTGCTCACTAGCATCTAGTTCTCGAATATAATTAAGAAGAGAGTTAGTAATGTTAGAAGAAAAGTTTTCTTAGTAAAAGAAGCCAAAGATACAAATTGAAGGGGTTCCTTGCTAATTCTACAAGAAGACTTGGCACATAAAGAAGTGTCTCAATTATATTGTTTGGCCGAAAAGATGACCCCCTTACTTTACCTTGTTCTAAAGTTAATTTAGCTTTTGTTACTATTCATAATTGGTGATTGGGTTTTGCAGGAGGTTGCTTATGCAGCTGACCGCAATGTAAAAACGAAAGATTCATCTATGTGGGTAGGGATGGTAATAGGTCGGGTTGAGTCGGGTTTGGCAGTAGGGATGTCGGTGGGACGAATTGGGTTGGGTTTGGTTGGGTCGGGTTATTGCCCAGGTTGAGTCGGGTTTGGCATAGAGTAGGGATGGCAATGGGACGGATTGGGTCGGATTTTGCCGAACCCGACCCAAACCCAAATCTATGAGTTTATCCATGAAAAAAATCCGAGGTAAAACTCACTGGGTTTGAAAAACTCAAACCCAACCCAACGCGTTAGGTATTCGCGGGTTCATGGGTACCCATGGTTTTTGTCGTAAAAAAATTTACAATAACCAGTTCCTACCAAAATAAAAGTAAAATATCAATCTCTCAATACAAATTATCCATATATAAAACACCATTCTAGAAAATTCAAGCAAATCACAAATTAACCATACAAATTGTTCAACACCAATCTAGAAAACTCAAGAAAATGGAAACAAATCACAAATTATCCATAAACAACATGATTAATTGAAGGCTTCTTCCTCCTTGTCAATTAGGCTTCTTCACTCTCCACTCGATAATATCAACTTCATTCTAGACATGTCTCCACAAACATAAAGAAGATTAGTTGTTTAGAATATTAAATATACCGGAAAAATTAATTATATGGGTGTGTGCGGGTACCCATGGGGCGGGTTTACCTAAACCCAAACCCAACCCGATGAATAGTGAACGAATTTAAACCCAAACCCAGCTCAAAACCCGTCAACACGGATTTTACCCGCGTTAACCGTGTTGGGTCGGATAGGGTAACCGTGAGAGCCTGCTTATGGAGCCGACCACATTGTAAAAACGAAAGATTCATCTATGTGGGGGACGACAAGAAAGTTACCATGGAAGCTATCAAAACCTTTTTTGGGATAGAAACTATCTAAACTTTTAGATTGTAGTTAAAGACTGAATGTCAACTGGATTTGTTTGAGATATTTATAATACCGTCTTTTCGGCGAAATTAAATTTTGATCAATTGTTTGGACAAGTCTGATTATTTTGGTTAGTTGGGTCCGGTCTATTGATTGATAATACGTACATGCTTGATGTGATTAGTTCCCACAATGAAGATCTTGCAAACAAGTTTACGAGGTACAAAGCGAGAAATAAATGAGAATTCTGCCACTTTATGGCATAAGAACTTGCCACCTAGGTAAAATATCTAATTAGAGAATTTAGAGGCTGGTTCTGATCGAAATTCTTTAATCCTTGGATTTAGATGTCTGCATTGAGTGCCTTAAGGGTAAGAGATATATAAAAAAGAGCCGGCCCAATTGCTAGAGCAGCCGGATGGAATTGAATTGGAAGGCTGGGCCGGGGCGGATTCTTTCGGGCCACAATGGGAGAAGCTGGAAGAAAAAGACAAGGAATAAAGGAGGCGGCCAATTAAGGAGGACTTTGGGATTAGGGTGTTTATACGGAGTGATTATCGTGGTAACCGTTTTAATCGGTAGTATTTATATGTGACAATATCCTATAAGCTTCTAAATTGGTTTGAGATTATCATAAAAACACCATAAGTTTGAGATGTGCCTTAAAGATAGACATAATGAAAGCTTTCGATTCGGTTAGATGGAAGTTTCTTTTTAATGGTGTGGAAACAATGGGGGGATGCAAGGGAAGTTTTTGGAGTTGCTGATTGCTTGTGTAAGTTCACCTATGGTTAGTGTATCTTTGAATGGTGGGTTGTGTGGTTATTTTGGGATGCATAAGGGTTTGAGACGGGAGATCCCCTGTCTCCTTACTTGGTTACAATAGCCATGGAGGTATTTGATGCACTGATTGAGAAGGCTGCTGGATTAAGAGTCAGTTGTTTGTTGGTGTGTGTACAACAATGGATCTCGACTCATTCACATCAAGATCATGGATGTTTGGAATCCATATTATGCAAGGAGACATTGCTTTTGCTAATTTGAATTGAAGGGTGATGTAAAAATCGGTCTATTTTATGGTATCATAGCCATAGTTAGCGTATTCATACTAGTTAGAACTCCAGCTCCGTATCAAGGTCGATATCGTCACTAGCATCAATATCGTCACTATCATCAATATCTCTGGTGTCTAGTGGTTAGCCTCATATGGCGAGAGTGATGTTCTTGGTTATATTGAAGTAGTGCAGGCGAAGTCTCCTCAACAGATTTGTGCTGAGCTGAAGGTATCATTCGCCTTATGGCTGCCATAGATCCAGAGTTGCAAGGTTGTCTAGACAAGGCCAACAGGGTATAGTAGCTTTATAGTGGAGATATAGTTTTTTTCTTTGTAATCATTAGTCATTTGATGATTTTATGAGTACGCGCTTTTGAATCATCCGTTCTTAATGATTTTTTTTTTTGGTGAGAGTTCTTAATGAAATTTTGATTTAACCATTAGAATATTATCCCAATAAGACTTTACCGCTTGCTAAATCCATGTAAGCTCATAAACCATGTGACAACGATGATAAGGAGCAGGTTTATAGAGATTAGAGAATGATTCTTTCAATATTTTTCTGATTATTTATGTCGGGAAATCCCAAGGTTTTGCAAATGAAGACGTTACTAAATAGGAAATAGGTCCAGGGTCAACAACTCCACTGTCTTCACTCTTCATCACATTTGTCGGTTTTCATTTAGAAAATAGAATAATTCGCTGTTTTTTTTCTCATTGAGTTACAAAAAAAAAATAAAGTAAAATTTGTATTTATTGAAACGAAGGAAGAAGGTGGTTTGGTTTAGGAATGGCAATGGGTAGGTTTGGGGCGGGTATCTCGATACTTATACATGTCTCGTGGCAGGTCGTGTAATTTATCACCTGGCGCGGGTCGGATCGACCTAATGAGTATGTAATTTATATGAAAATCACTAGAAATATTTTTTTTTATTTTCATTGGTGACTACTTCGATGCAATCGCAAAAATGAGTGCGTTCAATGCACCAAACTCAAAAACTAGTCTTAAGGTATCGGATTTTGAATTTTAATTTGTAGAATTAGTGTAATATGATGATATGACATATGATAACAACTAATTAGCCGATTACCCTAAGCCCTGGACCTTCAATTTTGAGTTGTATCCCTAAACCCCAAATTGTAAACCCTACCCTAAATCTCTAAACTCTAAATCCTTCAAATTAAAGTAAATGTTTAATGTTTTTGTGCAAATTCATGTGCGTTATTGTTCATCACATCATAAGTGATGATTGACATCATTTTGACATAAATCGCATGTTTAAAATGACGGTTATGAAGCGAGTGCACTGAATGCACCCAAAAAAATGAGTGCACCAAAGACGTGGTCACCTATTTTCATTATAAGACCAAGAAACAATTCACAATATGATAAAAATGTAGTTAAATTATTAGAGACATTGAGATTTTTACTAATTTAAACACTTTAATAGCTAAAATATGATGTAACGAAAGAAAATTCATAAGTAACTTGATTAAAATTACATGTAATTTAGACAAGAACATATCAAGAATGGGACAGATTAGAGCAAATCGAATTGATGAAAATACCCATATATACCCTCCCGACCCAAAACAAATTAGATAAAATGGGTCGAGTCGAAATGATCAATCTTCAATCCCTAATTTGATTTGGCCTTTTGGTGTCACCTTCCTTCCTCCTCCCCTTCGACTTCTTATTCTTAAAAGACGGGGTTTTTGTCCTCGTCCACACCATTGAAGAATCCGAACGGCCACACAGAGACGACAAAGGAACGGAATCGGAGAACGGCGGAAACCTCCATATCTCCCTTTCCCTTTCCCGCCTCCTCATCTCTCCACTCCTTTTCGCCTTTATTGTTCCTTCCTCTTTTCCTTTCCTTCCTCTCTCTAAATCCCCAAATCCCTCTTTCCCCAAAATACATTTCCCTTTCGGCTCCATCATTATTTCCGCCCAGCCCAATCTCTCTCTCGTCGCCGGCCAAGCAGAGGAGCAGCTCCGGCGTTACCGATCGGATTCGTTTCCTCCCGCCGGCCGGTGGTCGCGGTTAACATCCTCTTGAATCTCGATATAACTCTCACGCGCGCGTCGGTCGTTAAATGGTACGCGCCCCATCTTCTTCTCTATGAGACTCTCTCTCTTTCTCTCCGTTGCTTCTGAAAAACTGCTTTCTTTTCCCCGCCGGTGATGATGAATAAACGCGGTTTTATTTTAACGCTAATTAATTAAAAAAAAAACAAAAAAGGACAGTACGCAATCGTTACGTTTAGCTTTCGTCGTATTATTCAGTTTCTCTCCTGAATGATTAGAAGATATTTATCAGTATGATTAAGGTAGCAAAGCTGTTTCCAGGCTTGATTAAACGATTTGCGTGACAATATCGTAATTAAGCTGTATCATTATATTCCCTTAATAATCATTAGTATTTAAAATGTGTAATTTCAACGGTACTGGTGACAGTACTATAGAAAATTTTATTACTATTATATATGTAATTAGCTTTGCTGTGCTTAGTGGGAATGCGTAACAATTACGGGTCCACCAGCGCCTTTCCGTTGGCCGTCGTTTTCCCCCTTTTGCCGGTTTCGCTGCCTTCTTTATCATTAAAAGGGTTCTTTTTTGGGATTCTTGTTTTTCTCTTTTCTTTGGCTCGATCGTCGTCGTCGTTTTGTTCTGTCCTCACCGGAATTGCTGCGGAAAAGCTATTGGCCGGCTGCCTTTGCCTTGATTGAGAGAGCTTGCTTTCCCGTGCGGACAAATGCAAAGACGGAACAGATTCAGTTTTGACACAGAACCCAATCAAAATAGTTATAAAAAAAAATTTGGCATTAAAAATGTTCCCCATTTTTTACTTTTACAGTTTTACTACAATTTCAAAAGTATTTATCATTCGTATTCCTTGTGTCTGTTTGACCGAATACCAAAAAACACAAAAGGTGAGCGGACAAGGATGGAACGAGGAAAGAAAGCAGCAGCAGCAGGAAGCTGTGGTGCTGACGAAGCCGCTGATGGTGGAAGGAGACTCCGACGTGGACTACCGGACGCCGAACCTCGTCCAGCGCATCCTGAGCCTCTTCAAAAACGTCCGCCCTGGCTCCGACCTCACCGGCTTCCAGGCAAGTTACTTCGCACGCGCGATATCTTAACTCGAGTTGTTGAGAGTGGTTCGTTCAATAATGAATCTTATACCGCTACTACGTACTAACATCGTCAAAGTGCGCGTGCAGCTGCCGCCGTCGTTCAACTACCCGAAGTCGCAGCTGCAGATGTACGGGGAGTCGGTGTACTGCGCCGGGAAGGACATGCTAGGTGAATGCAGCAGCAGCGGCAAAGGTGACGCATTGGAGAGGTTTACTCGGGTGGTCGGGTGGAGCATTTCGACGAACCGGCCGGCCATATTTGGGGTGGCGCCGTACAACCCGGTTCTCGGCGAGACACACCACGTGTCCTCTCGCTCGCTCAACGTCCGGCTGGAGCAGGTCTCCCACCACCCTCCGGCCACCGCGCTCCACGCCACCGATCGGATTCGCGGCATCGACATGCTCTGGTTCCACCGCCCCATCCCCAGGTTCCACGGTAACGTTACTTTATACGTAGCCTTTTTTTTTTTCTTCTTTTCTGTCTTTGCATAATAAGTGTGACATGTTTTAACATTTCGTTGCGTACGTACATTTAAGGGTTAGATTTTAAAATAAATAATCACTTTCGAATTTCATATTATAGGTGCAAAACTTCATTTTACTAACTATTTTATAGGCTCTATCCACTCATTCTATTATCTCCCACTCTCGGACTATCTTGGAGGTGGTTTTCTTTTTAGGGGTTGTTTGCTAAGGTACGGGCTCGTTTGCTTGTTGGATTTGAAAATGAAGGTTTTGGGTTATGAAAACTAGGGGTGGGAAACAGCCCAATTCGGTTTAAACCGGACCGGATTGACCCGGTTTTTTGAAACCGTATTGAACAACTCCACAACCGTAGACGGGATTGGATTGTTACCCGGTTCAACCGTGATCGGACTGGATTGAATCCGGTTTCAACCGAAAAACCGGATCACCTTCTCCATCCCAAAACACAGTCGTTTCAATACCAAAATATTACCCTCCTTCTCCTGCCAACCACACAATCCAATCCCTATTCACTACCAAAAAATTGCCCTCACCATTCTTCCTTCCCAGCTACCTTCACGATGCTTCTTCTCCCTCTCCCTCCTTCTCCTGCCAACCACACAATCTAATCCCTATTCCCTATCAAAAAATTGCCCTCACCATTCTTCCTTCCCATCTACCTTCGCCATGCTTCTTCTCCCTCTCCCTCTACTGGATCCAATCAAATACACACAAGAAGCTCTGCCTATGAGCTCGATTAAAGTAAGAGAGGCGAGAAGACTTGGATCTGGAGAAGCGATTAGAGTCGCGTGAGTCGGGAAGGGGATGCATGTCGTCGGCCGCCGCGCGTCTCGATCGATCAAATATACTCGCCGACTCCGTCACCATTGTCGCCGCGCGCTGGGAAGTTGGAGAGCAGAGGACCTAGTAGAAGTCAGATCGGACGGGATGGACGACGGGCGATGGAGGGAGGCGACTGGCGTCTGGGAGTTCTGGTGGCGGAGTGGCGATGGTCGGCGACGGGATGGATCCGATGGTCGGATTTTTTTCTTCTCCTACTCCTCTTGTGTGGTGGGTCGGTGAATGAGAAAGAGAAAGTTGAGGGTCGAGGGGGAGAGAACAGAGGAGGGTGATTAGGGTTTGGGGTGGTGGGGGACTAGGGGTGGGTTGTTTGGGCTGGGATATTAGCGGGCTAGGCTTGTTTGGGCTGGGATATTAGTGGGCTGGGCTTATATTTGTTTATTTATTTTCAGTTGTCCGGTTTTTCCGGTTTTAATCGGACCGGGCCTGTGAGTATTACAACCGCAAACTGGATTGGATTGGTTTGGATCCGGTTTCCAGTTGCAACCGGCACGGTTTAAACTGGCCGGTTTCCGGTTTGACCGGAAAACCGGGACCGGATTTTCAGCCCTAATGAAAACCTTTGGATTTATGATGGATTTGTTGCATTTTGTATTTGCAAGATAACATTGCTTGTTTAGTTGAATTTTTATCATGGATTTAGTTCATTTGGTATTTGGTTCTAAAAAATTTGTCTTCCATAAATGTGGTATTTACAAATACGTGGGATCCACGGATTTGGAACTAAAAAAGTTGTCCAACTCCGTGGGCCCCACTGATTTGCCTACCCTAACAAACAATGGCTTTGGACAAAAAAACATTATGATTTGTATTTGGAGACCAAATACAACATCCAAATCCCCATTAGCAAACATCACCGTAATTTGAATGTTGGATTTGGTCCCCAATTACCTGCATGCAGTAATAATACTACTGAAGAGCAGAGCCTATTTAACGACGTGGGGTAACCTCACAAATTATGAATTATTGTACTGAGAAATTAATCATCTTTGATGAAATTAATGCAGGGACGAGGGTGGAAGTGGAAGTGCAAGGGAAGAGGAGGCTGAAGCTCGTCGAACACGGCGAAACCTACGTCATGAACTCTCCCAACCTAACGATCAAGTTCATCCCGCCGTCCGTCGACTGGACGGGGACCGTCAGGGTCAGCTGCCAGGAGACCGGCTACGAGGCCGAGCTCAACTACGCCACGTCGTCCTTCTTGGGACGGTGGTCCAGCTCCAACAACTCCGTCACCGGCAGGATCTACAAGACGGCGGCGGCGGCGTCGCCGCCGTCCTCTCCTCCTTCCGGTGATGAGCATGATAAGTTGCTCTACACTCTGCATGGACACTGGAGCAGGTAACACATTGATGAACATAACCCATCTCTTTTTTTTTTCCCCTGTAAAATTTTACCACTAGCAAGAGATTTTTTTCGGTTTTACTTATTTTTTTTTGCCTATGTAGTGTTGTGAAAATAAAGGATCAAAACGGTGGAGGAGAGCGGGTTATCTACAATGCCAAAGAAGTGGCCTCCAGATTGAAAGCTCCAATTCTCAAGGATCCACAGGTAATTGTATCACTTCACTTCCCTTATCAAATTGCAAAATCGCACTAAAGGTTAGTACCGTGTTAGGGGCTAATTGCGCAGGAATCGTGGTTCGATCTTTTCTTACGGTTAAAACCACCTATCAATTTGGACTCGCGTGGTAGACGGTTTTTCCGGTCAGACCGCCAGTAAATTAAACTAACGGTTTTTGCAAATACTGGGATACATTATTCGGTCTAGGAAATGTCATTTCTTATCCTAATTCGCTTGATTAGATCTACGGATTGACTTGTCTCGCTTTCCGTCGCATCATGTTTCATGACTCTCACTGTTGAGCATACGCTTAGTAGGTTTTATGGTAGTTTAAGTATTTTATTAGGCTTGGTCAATTAGAGTTTGGGGTCAGAGTCTATATAATGTATCTTAGTTCTATCGTTAGAGATATCAACGAAAAAAACTATATCATCAAGGTATCATAAGGAATCATCCCTAATTCTCTCTAGTCTCTTTCAAAAACCCTAATTAATCCCCAATTCCAAATCACCCAATTCTCCTCTCAGCCAATCTGAATTTCTTTCTTCTAAACTCTATCTTATTACGTCAATCAATCAGCTGGATGCCCGAGATCCCTACCTACAACGCTCACTCTATACTGATTATGTAATAACTGGCTTCTTTCTGGTTTGTGTGTGCAGAATGTTTTGCCGACGGAATCGGCATCAGTGTGGAGCGAGGTGAGCAGAGCCATCATGAGCAGGAACTGGGAGAAAGCCAAGGACGCCAAGAGAGCTGTGGAGGAGGCACAGAGAGAGCTTGCCAATGCCAGGAGCTCGAGAGGAGAAATTTGGGCTCCAAAGTATTTTGCTCCTTCCAAAGGAGACGACGAGCCTTGTGAATATTCGCCTCTTGAGGCACTGGTTCCGCCAGCTCCCATTGTTGTTCCCTCTTAGGCTTTAATTAGCTACCCCGCCATTAGCAACAAGCTTTTTCATTGTGTTAAGAGAAGTACAAATACAGAATCGTCATTGTGTAATTATTGTAGAGTACTCTAGTAATCTGTTATTTGGGTATTGTTTAATTATCGTGTCTTTTGTTTGATCAACGAACATGAGACTAGTTAATTCATTAGTTGGGAGAAAATTGTTAGTATGTTGATGTAAGTAGTAGAAGTGAAATAAATGGTATTTAAAAAAAAAAAAGATTATTAGTTTAAAGAGTATGCAACATTAAGTAGTATTTCCCTTATAGCTTATTGGCAAGTTGTTATTTCTCACAATCGCACATTCTTTGATCATGTATATATTTCTTACTCGTTTCATTTTAGAAAATAATAGAAGTTAGTTGTTTTGACTTAGTACTTGACTGATAACTGGCTTATCGATTAGTGTTTAGTGGTTAACAGCTAACCGAACCGATTAGCCACCTCAAATCTCCACTGCCTGAATTAATCAATAACTTATCAAAACGTTGTAGAGGGCCTGGTTCTTGTTGGGCCTGATCCGGTAAAAAAAAATAGCAATTGAATAAGGAAAGCATCTATAAACCCAACAGAACAACTTCCTAACTTCCTAAATATTTTATACCTGACCACCTTTCCATAAGGCCCAACATGGCCCATTAAGTAGGGGTGGGTATTGGTTTGACCAAACCGCTCCAAATCGCCCCAAACCGCTTATGCGGTCAATCCAAACCGCATCATTAAACTAACGGTTTCATTTGCGGTCTGATCGTTAACCCTTGGCGGTTCACGGTTCGGATTGACCCAAACCGCTCGGTAGCGGTTTGAAACCACAATCCGCTAATTCCTAATCTAGGTCAAACGCCTCTTCTCACCACACAACACACGACAGCAGCTATCCTCTGGGCGACGCCGACACGGCGCCATCTTCTCTCCGGCGGCACCATCTTCTCTCCGGCAGCACCAGATCTGACCATTCTCTCATTCCGCCATCTTCTCTCCACGGCGCCATCTTCCTCAGCTTTGGCGGACTGTCAAATACACCAAGAGGCGGGAGATTTCTAGGATCGAAGGCATCTCGATCTTTCCTATTCTCGGAGCTCCGGTGCTTTGGCCGACTGTAAGGCTCTTTTGTTCAGGCAGAATAGGGTTAGGATGATAGTCGATTGCCATGCTTCCCCAGTCCATGTGTTTCAGGATGAAGGGCTGATGCAGCCATTGTGCTTAGTGTTAATGACAGTTCAATGTTCTAACTGTTTTATTTCATATGCTTGCAGGGCAAAATGAAATCAAAAGGCTCGAAGGGAAAACGAGCTCAAGCACCGATTGTTATTTACTGATTTCCCACCTTCCATTCGGCAGCTCATTCGGCAGCTCGTTCGGTAGCTCGTCACGTTCTGATTTTGTCGCCTCAGAATTTTCAAATGTTCGACTTTATTGCTTGGTTAGGTAGTCGATAGTATCCTTGTATCTGTGAACTTTGATCTAGAGGAATCTAGAGGCAAAAATTTCCCACCTTCCAAGTTGTGTGAACCTAGTTACGTAATTAACCATCAAAACCTTACTGTTTTGCGAAAACCTAATCCACTCAACTATCTTTTGGTCAGAGGGTAATAGTTATAAGCTGAGAGTTCAAATAGCACAAGCAAAAGGACAAGTGCCTCAAAGATTACCTCGAGTCTCTTCATCAACATCCAAAATTTAGTTTATGTCTCATGTTTTTTTTTTAATCTAACAGTCAACTTAGTACTTTCTTCCTCTTATCTCTCGAGCATAAGTTAGTAAATACTCCGTTTAATACACGTATATGTACCCGTACGTACTTTATCCGTTTAAAACTTCCGTATCCGTATTATTGTCAAGCCGTTTCATTTGTTTCCGTTCATTTTACGGCTCCCGTACTAAACACGTATAAAACCCGTATAGCACGTTTAATATCCGTATTTAATGAAATAAATTATTAACTTTGCTATTTTTAACATATTTATTTATTTATAAAAATAATTAATTTTATATATTTTTGACTATTAACGTACTATTAAACGTAACAGTAACTAAGAGATGAAGTATAATACCCGTACGTATTTTAAACGTAACTTTTCCGTACCGTATTTTACTAACTATGCAGTCTCGAGTAATGATGAGTCATTTCGATATATTCCACTTTCTATCGCACTAGTGGTGGGTAGATTGATTTGGCACTATGCTAAGGATGGGATCTATGTTGTCAAAATTGGGTACTATCTTTCTAATTAACTCAATGCTTCTAACCCTCGATTCAACTTCCTTATGATCGCAAGTTTTAGAAGTTTCTATGGAAAGTTTCCTTTACCGCCCAAACTTAAGTTTTTCATATGAAAGTTCGTGCAAGGATTCCTTCCGTTATATATCGTGTTGGTGATGAAGACATTGCTCACGGGCAATACACATCTTGTGTGTTCGCAAGGAGCTGAAACCTTCACTCATTGCTTTTTTCAATGCAAGGTTGCTAGGGAGTTGTGGTACTTAGCTCATTTGGATCACATTCGAGTACATTTAGCTAGTCTGCGTCCTGAGTTGTGTTGGCAAAAAAAAAATTCCATTGCAATCTCTCTAAAGTGCAAGTTGTCACTGTTGTCTTCTTATGTTGAAGGGTGTGGAAGTCTCCTTGCTCGGCTATACATGAACACATCCTGTGTGTCTTGGTGTGTTAACAAGGTTGTTCACCTAGTGGCATAAATAGTCTTTTCATTGATAGTTCGATTATTTGTCAACTACCACGTCTAGTTACTTAGTCATTTGTAACTATATATATATTTTCTGAACATTACTATCTTTGAGAAGAAGGAAAAAATGATACGTCATTTCGATGTCGTTGCTGTGACAATGAAGCAACAATATTTCTCGTTCAAATTCATTGCTAGTTCGTTGTCCAAATTTAGGGTTAGTCAATGGGGTGTGCCGAGAGGCCGTCCGACATAGGGCCTTCGAATTTTATGGAGCCCTCTACCGTAGGTATGTTAGTTGATCTAATTCAATATTATATGATGAACTTGTGGTGTATGGTTTTTTTTTTTTTTTGAAATCATTGGAAATTCATTGATATGAACCCAGAGGGTGAAACCCCAGGGAGAGAAACAAGAACCAAAGAGGGTGAAATCATTGGGCCGAAACCCCAGGGAGAGAAACAAGAAACATAGAAAGGCCCAAAGCAACAATCAAATGACCAAAGCCCAACAGATGGCCTGAAAAACAAAACCAAAGAGAACTAAGCCCAAAAGATGGCCTGAAACCCTAGCACCCCAACCAAAATCCCCAAGAGCAGCAGCCGCCACCTACCACCCAAAAGAGCACCCATCGGACACACATGCAGAGGCTGATGAAGGGAGATCCGATGACCCAAAGACCGCCGGACAGCAAGCAAACCAAAGCAGAGCGCTTGCAGACGCCACGTATGGTTGATTGATTATAGTTGTGATGATGCGTTTATATATATTACTTAATACTAGTGTTAGTCATTGTTCAATATTTTTATATATATAGAGACAAGACATGCATAGCCACTTTAAGCTCTATTCTTGTATAATATGACAAACAAATCCTTAATGGGTTAAAGATGATGATTATTGAAAGTTTCTGTTGGCAGAATAGACAACTTGAAGAGTTAAATGGAGAATTTTATTTCAAATTATTGTTTAAATAACGACAATTTTCATTTTAGTATACTTGAAAAAATTGATGACCCTGCTCAAATGGGTGATAGTAAGTCCCTTCTATCTTCACTCTGATATATGGATGTCAATTCAACCCGTAGGTGCCCAGCACATGTACAATTCAACCTAGGCAGAGCGGGTAAATCCTATGTCGACGGGTTTTGAGTAGGGTGCGGGTAAACTCCACTTTTGGAATTGATGGTTTGGGTTGGATCCGGGTATAGCCAAATGCAAACCCGCTCTCCCCCCACCCGATCTTGGAAAGAAAAAGGATGTAGTTTTGTATATTATAAACCCTAATTATTTTAATAATTTTGTAATGTATGAGTATAAAAAACAATATAATTCTAATAATATTAGATAATTATTGATGTTGTTAGCCTTCTCAGCAATATAATTATCGAAAAATTTTGATAATACAAGAATGCACGTGTTCGGATGAATTATTCGCGATTATATTCGTGAATGCAGCCATTGGTACCCCGATAGGTTGGGTTTTCCTCTTCCAAAATCCATTGGGTACTTTCACTAGATTTTGTTTGGCGAAGACACCAACTAAATTTAGTTTGAGTATGAAGAAACCCGACCACCAATCCGATCCATTGCCATTATTCCTACTATGGACATGCATGTTGAATTGAATGACAAATGTTTACTGTACGTCCTTCGTAATTAGTTGCCACCGATGGTGTATTTAACCTTTAACACAGCAACTTGCTCTACTCCTATATATATAATCAAAGCAAACACTGATGATTAGTAAAATTAGTAAAGTCGAGTTAATCACAGAAGCAAAGAACGAGAAACATGATCATTGCCCCTTGAAAACAAAAGCGAAACGCGTGAATGAGTGAATCCATGTTGTATTATTATTGCAATGATAGCACTCTCTAGATAAAAAAAATTGCATTTGCATGAGGCTGGCTGGAATCCAGTTCATGCCAACAATCAACCCTACAACTACAAGGTGCAACGGCATGGGACGGCCGGCGGTGGCAATAACAGTGGCGGACCCAGGATCGTTGAAGAGGGGTGTCGCCGATAAAAAATTATAATAAATAAAATAATTAAATAAAAATAAAAGTTTAATAGAAATTACTGAAAATTCTTTTATAAGTTAACAACGTCGTGTTTACTACGAATTATGACGATTTTTCATATCCTGAATTTTTTTTAAAATACATTCATCGCTTATATTGCAAATCAAACATTTTTCGATATACACAACTACATAATCATTCATAAATTAGTCACTCAACCAAAGGGAATCGACTCACGTCTAAAATAAAACTTAAAATAAAATAGTTTATAATCAAATATAGTAAATCACGATCTACCAATTGGCAATTTTAGACAAAACAAAGTATGCCTAAAGTAATATCATTAACATTTTTCCTCTAGTTCTACCAAATTAACCAAAATCAAACCACAATCTCCCATAAATCTACCCATTTCACCTATTAACTACATATTGACAAGTTAAATTGGGTTGTGGGTTACTTAAAACAAGCATGCTTATTTCTTATTATTGTTAATGACTAATTATGATGAATAAGTTTATAACACTAAAACTATTATCGTATAATGAAGGTGTGTCGCTTATACTTATTGGAGCGGTGTCGGAAGTCTTAAATTAAAATTTTTTGTACCGAAAAAATATAGGTCCTTCACAAAATTTTCGGACGGAGGGATGTCGGACGACACCCCTTCCATAGCCCCCCTAGGTCCGCCCCTGGGTGGCATGGCCCTCCATCCCCTTCCCCGCCGAAAACCATTTCTCTCCTCTTCTTAATAATAATTGTCTTTTCCGACCTTTCTGCGCAGTTCACCGTTTTAACATTTGGAATCCCCCCGTTTCTTTTCTTTTGTATGTGCTTGAAAATTTTCAAATTTGAGACACGAGACATTTTTGGTGTTCCAATTGATATGAGTTCAGAAACTTCTTTTCTCGATATTTTGAAATTTACGAGAACAGTATGATTTAAGGATTTGTATTTTCACAAATTCAGGATCAAACAGTTTGATTTTGTGAAATGAAACATTGATTCATATTGGCCTCCAATATTTGTAGTTATTTTTAGTTTGAACCTTTTCACAGTTCTAAAATTTTTACACCGCGAACATGTGAAAAAGTAAAAGGCATAAAGAAGGGGATTACAAGAGTGGCGCGTACCTAGAACTGTCAACAGTGCTGCCCATAGAGTGGTGCGTAAAGCACTGCATTTGTCTCGTCTAGAGCTAGAATCTTTTGATTTTTTGGGGTGGCTTCATTAGAATATATTGTAAGGGGTCATGGGTAGATTTGTATGAATAACTCTTGTCCTCTATTGATATCACTCAGAAATAAAAAAAAAAGGTTATTTGCATGAGTCATTTGGTAGTGAAAAGCAAAACGAATAATTTGTAAATTGACTCTCCCCAATTGATTCAATCCTGTCAATCATTTGGAAATAATTTTTATTGGTTACTAGTTTTCAATCTTAACTCTCACCGATTATTTATGTATCCAATACCCTTATCTGGATGTTTAAATGATGATTTCTAATGGATCAATCTAACACAATTGCTTCGTTTTGAGATAATTGTGTCAGTTTGACTCGTTTGGCAGCAAGAAAATTGAATGAATCAATTTGATCTGATAAATTATGAATTGACTCAATTTGAGGCAATTTCAATTGTCTGGGACGGAGCAGATAATTTAAATTGACTCTTTTTAAATGACTCATATTGTAAAACGAGACCATTGATTAAATTGTCTCATTTTGCAATTGATCCATCCAAACGACTCTTTTGTGTTCATAACCTCAATACTTTTCAATTGTTTACTAACAATATTTTCCGATTATCCCATTTAAAAATTTCAAATTATTCCTAGAAAAAACAATCACTAATGTGAAAACACATTGAGATATTTGTGTGAGGGAATGATTGAGTTGAAAAATCAAGAAAAGATTTTGACTCAATTTGACTTATCTGGGATTCTACTTTCTAGTAGTGAGAGACGTCGGAAAGGGAGTACAAAAATTCGAAAAATAGGAGAGGAAAGGTAATCCCGAAAACACCCCGGAGAAAAAACCATCGCTTACCCAGAGACGCTCAAGGAGAAAAAGGGAAATTCCATCCTTAGAGTGCCGTTTGGTAATCTAAAAATTTAATTTTGTTTCAAGAAAATGAAGGTGAAAAAGACGTGCCACTGCCACCGATTTATAATTACCACCACTCACCTCCCGCCACCACACTCCCATCCCTCTCCGCCTTTTCCGTTCCCAGCCCAATCGACACGGCGACACCTGTCTCCTCCGCCGCGCCCACGCCGCCGCGCCCCACACCGCCGTTTCCCATCTCCCCCTCCAAACACGCCCTATATATACTCGCTCCATCTCTTTCCCTCTTTCTCATTCTACTTCCGCCCTCCTCTCTTTCTCTCTCTGCGCTGCTCTGCTACAATGGCGTATTCTTCTTCTTCTCCTCCTTCTCTGTCTTACCTCGCTTTCTTCCTCCTCGCCGTTCTCCTCTCCGTCACAGCCGCCAATGCGGCCCACCAAAAGGCCGCCGCCGCTCCGGCCCCCGCCGCGGATTGCTCCACGGTGGTGTTGGCCCTCAGCGACTGCCTGACCTTCGTGCTCAACGGGAGCACCACCACCAAGCCGGAGGGAACTTGCTGCTCTGGGCTGGAGACCGTGCTGAACACCAACGCCGACTGCCTCTGCCAGACCTTCAAGAGCAGCGGCGAGATGGGGATCGCGCTCAACGTCACCAAAGCCCTCACCCTTCCTTCCGCCTGCAAGCTCAAAACTCCCCCTATGTCCAGCTGCCAGCGTAAACTCCCTCGATTTCGTTTGGTTTTAGAATTACGATTCCTTCTTAAAATTGCCGGTTCTGGGGTTTCTGAGATCTGATTGATTTTGGGTTTCTTCTCATTTCGGGGGATTCCTGTTCTGTTTTTGCAGTGTCCATGGCTCCCGCTGGCTCCCCTGGTAAACTCCTCTGTTTCTAATTTCTCTCTGTTCTCTCTGTTTTCTATCCAATTGAATTCTCAGAGGGAAAATGGTGGGTTGTGATTGTTCTTATTGAACATGCGTCTAATCGGGGTGAATTTTTTTGTTTTTTGGACAGTGGTGGCAGGAGGATCATCGACTGCAGTGCCGCCAAGCGAGATGACAGAAGCAGCTCCGGCTCCATCCCCTGTTGGTGGCGCCCCGCTTTCCAACTCTGCTCATGCTGCTGTTTCCGGCATCTTCTCAGCCGGATCTCTTGCGGCGGCGGCGGCGGCAACACTCGCAGTTGCTTCATTCTACTAGCGACATAGTTATATATTGATGTATCATATAATATTAGATCGCCTACATTGTAGTAAGTTGTGAGGGTTTCTGATTTGGCACATTATGTATTTGTGGAGGAGATGGGTTGCGGCTGAATTTGTTTTTTTTGTTCCTAATGAGATTATTACTTACTGCGACTGGTAGTAGTTGACTCCATCGTTCTGGTTTTTCCTTCTTTGTGCAATTTGGGTGTTGTGAATTTGTGATCTTGCTTGGCTTCGGGATATTGGAGTTACGCGGACTCCCCAACAGCCATTGTTGCAATTCTGTGTAGGGCTTTCTAAGGTTTGCATAATAAGTCAAAAAGAGTGCTTGATCGTTCTCTTGTGTGCTTGCCTTTGTTCGTCCTTTTCACATTAAGCTTTCTGGCATGCCTAATCGAGTGGGGTGAGACACTTCTTCAGATTTCCACTACTCAGTACTCACTTCCTACTTTAGGCATCATCTCTATATGCGCGAGTTCTGCGTAGAACACTAGTGATACGCAGTTATGCACGGAAGTGTTTGTTTCGACTTTCAAGCTATAGATTTGTTAATGAGCGCATGAAAAGCTCTTCTCGAGTTTAGTTGATCAGTCCCGATGGAGTTCAACTCGTTTATTACGACTAGTTGAATCCTACCCTAAATTTTAAAATTCATAAATTAATTACTTCAATATTTGTATGTTATACTTGTGATAAAATATGCAAAAAGAAAAACCATTCAAACAAGAAAAATATTCAAAATTTATATGACATCATTCGTTATATTTAGTTAGTAAATCTTAACTAGCTCATATAAAATTATTTCATAACAATTATTAATTAATATCGGCCCAAACCCGCGGATGATCTGCCCGCCTGCCCAGCCCTATGATATAGGGTGGACACATATAATTTAACAACCAATGAGTAATAAAGAAGTAAACTCATATGATATTGATCGATTCTCTCGTAAGTCGGTAATAGCTATTGCGACATTTCCTGAGGTCAAAACAAGGCAACTTACAAGTTGGTCTCAACAAGCCATCGTGTCAACCTGGCTTACGATCGTAGCAAGTTGAGCAAAGACCTGGCTCAATCTTGGCTCATTAGTCAACCAATCGAGGTCGGATGAGTTTTTCTAAGCCGAACGTCGAGCCGCTCGTGATTAGCTAAGCTTATTTGCAACCTTAATAACACATGCACATTATTACCAATTTTTTACCATTGTACTTTTAATGGTTACTCTAGGCAACACTAAAATAACTTGTCTAAGAGTCCAACGACGAGTTAGATATCGAGAACGCAACAACGAGTTAAGGCAAAATATCTAGGTGTCACTTAAATGTAATTAGGCGAAGTTAGCAAGTCAATATCAAAAAGGAAAATTAAGATCTACAAACTTAATCCTCTCGATCGATCTTTTTCAAAACTCATGAACTTTGAGAGCTATCGAGCTATTCTTTGAATTTTTTAGCATTTGTATTAAACTGTTAAGTAAATTATTAATCATTTAAACTGAAAGTGTGAAAGTAATTTAAACTATTATATTATTATCGTATGGTACAAACTAGGGGGTGAGCAACAGGTGGTTTATGCGGATTTGGTTGGGTTTTGAACCACCCACTATGTGGTGGATGAAGGAGAAAATGACTCACACCCAACCAAGCATTATATTACATGTGAGTGGGTTGGGTTGAATGATTGCGGATGATGGGTGATTGGTTAGATTCGGTGAATTTACAACATATATTTCATATGATCACATAATTTCAATAGTTTTAAACTTAAGATGAAACAAATTTTCAAACTAAATAACTCTTGAGTCTTGATCCATAAATCAGATTGAATCATTTATTTCACAATATTATGCTTCACCCCCCTTCTAGAACATTATGCGCCCAATAATTTCCACTTTTCTTTCCTCCATGTGGCAAGGAACGGCATGCGGATCAATATTCTTGCAGAAAGTGGGAAATGCTTAGCATTGATGATGGTGGCGTTATGATGACAACTTTGGAGGGGAAAAAAGAAAGAACAGCAGAATAGCAGTTCTAAATGCGAATGCTCGCCGACGGAGGACATGTGCCGTCTTCATCTTCCTTATTAGTCCATCCACCTAGGGATGGCAACAAAACCCGAATCCACGGGTACCCACCCGACCCAACCCGGTCAACGCGGGTAAAATTCGTGTTGACGGGTTTTGGGCCGGGTTTGGGTTTAAACCCGTTGACTATTCACCGGGTTGGGTTGGGTTTGGGTTTAGGTAAACCCGACCCGTGGGTACCCGCCCACTCATATAATTAATTTTTTCGGTATATTTAATATTCTAAACAACTATTCTTATTTATGTTTGTGGAGACATGTCTAATTTTTTCTTTTTAATTGTGTAGAATGAAGTTGATGTTATGGAGTGGAGACTAAAGAAACTTAATTGAAAGAAAGAAGCTTTCAATTAAACATGTTATTTATGGATAATTTGTGATTTGCTTCAATTTTCATGAGTTTTCTAGATTGGTGTTGAACAATTTGCATAGTTAATTGGTGATTTGCTTGAATTTTCTAGAATGGTGTTTTATATATGGATAATTTATATTGAGAGATTGATATTTGACTTTAATTTTGATAAGAACTTGTAATTGTAAATTTTTTACGACAAAACCCGTGGGTACCCAACGGGTTGGGTTGGGTTTGAGTTTTTCAAACCCGGTGGGTTTTACCCCGGGTTTTTTTCAAAGATAAACCCATGGATTTGGGTTTGGGTTTGGCAAAACCCGACCCAACCCGACCCATTGCCATCCCTACATCCACCAGCCTAATAACCTAACCATTATTGAAGAATCCAGTCATCGAAGGCAAACTTGGCATTAGGTTCTAATTTAATTAATACCCACTGATCTAAGGCATTTGAAGAACATATACTTTTTCCTGTAAAAAAAAGCTTGACAAGTTAGTCGGAAAAAAGATAGCTCAAATATAATAAAAATTAGGGTAAATATAATATATTAGCCACAACTATTATGAAACGGGGAATTATAGCTACAACTATGGAAATTTAAATTATTAGCCAAAAGTTAACTCTATGTTAACAATTTCGTTAGTAATGCTGACTAAACTTTTATTTTTTAAAGTTTTGAATTAAAAGCAGCCCGACGTGGCTGCTGCCGTGGCTGCTGCCGTGGCCGATGACCTACACTTCTCCGTTAAAAATTCAATAATAGTAACAGACAGTTAGACATGTCTTGACCCGCAACAATAGTTATGGATAATAATTTGAATTCACATAGTTGTGGCTATAATTCCCCACTTCATAATAGTTGTGGCTAATATATTGTATTTACCCTAAAAATTACTGAAGATGCGGTGAGTATCTCAATACGGGTGGGAATTCGGTTGCGATTTCGCGGTTAAATTGCTAATTAAATCGAAATGATACGGTTAGTGATTAATCATTGATCGAAAGAATAGTCTATTTTGCGATCGCGGTTAGCAATACTGCATGTTTCGTAGTTTGTGATTTTCAACAGCAACCGAATAACATGTAATCGCAGTTTAATCGGTTACTAACCGTCAAAGACAATCAATCATGAAAAATAAACAACGCAAAACACTAGATTTATGTGGTTTCCCCAACGTATGAACGATGTGACTAGTCCACTGCACAAGGCGATTCACATACATATATAAGTGGCTTCTATCGTACATTGAGTAAAATCTAGAGTACGTCATACATTGAGTGAGGAAACACTATCTAGACCTCGAATTAACCAGATTTTTGGGCATGATACTATACTCTAACCCTTGACGAGTGAATCCTAAGTCTTAGTTATCTAAATCATAGAGCCTAACCCCTAAGATTGTACATGTAATTTGTTGCATATATTTCGAAGAATCATGATCGTCGATTTTCGTTTCTAATTAACTTGATCTTAGTGTATGAGATCTATAGAATTAAGACCTAGATTTTAATCTTTAAGAGTTTAGGAATAATACTAGATGTCAAACTCCGATCAATTCAATGTATAGGTATCATTTTTTTTTTTATACTCAAAGTATGTCATACATTTGATTTTACCGAAGATACGATAGAACACCCATATATATATAGCTGCCTCTTAACCCTACTCCATTCCACGACCCCACGAGGCCACGACTACATAGTAATCTACCCGATTCTCGTATGAATATGATAAAACTCAAACTATATTGAATAAGATAATAAATATGAACTATCTACCCCCGAACCTCCGAACTATTGCCATCCAAGACGAGGCTAATCAGAGAAATGTGAAAGGAGGAATCCATGCCTTGCGTTTCGCGTTTTGGGAACTACCACAGGATTATACGAAACCAGTTAGCACTGCCCAGAAAAAGTGTTTCCTCGGGAAAACCAAATGCCACCGCCGGTGCCGAATTCGTTTCTGGCGATGTTGATTCGATGTTTCGCGATGGAAACTCTTGCGGTATCGTTGATCGAATGCACCGCTGATAGCTGAAATCAAGACGACCGTCAAATATCCGCCGCCGAATGTCGGCGCCGTTGATTTGATCGATGCACCTCTAAATGGTGAAATCAACGTGACCGTCAAATATCCGCCGCCGGTGTCGGCGTCGTTGATTTGATCGATGCACCTTTGAATTCTAACCAAGAACGACCGTTACTACGGTTCGCACCTCTCCAAACTACGTTCGAACGAGGGTGTTTGAGTTTTGGTGAATCTACGCTACCGCTACTCCTATGGAGATTCCTGTGGAGAGCTCCGCGACTACGACTACTTCTACCAACTATGGAGATCCTTCCTGGAAGGAGAGCTCCGAGAAGGGGTTACAGAGAAAAAAGGTAAAGTTTGACAGAGTTGATCTGTGTTGATTTTTGGTCGTCTTTTCTCTCTCCTTGCTCCACTGCTTTTATTCGAAAAACTGCTTCGTAGTCTTCACGCTCGGTGGAACCGCTTCATCAACTGCTCCGTTGTGAAATCCCACGTGTCTCAACCGCTTCGCTCCTCAAACTGCTTCGCGTGAACTTTACGTGAGTTGCTTTCATGATCCCGCGATGTCGTTTCCTTTCCCAAGCAGCTCCGCTTGATTCTACCCGCGACATCGTTTTAATATTAAACGACTCCGCTTCCAGCCTTGCGGTGTCGTTTTCTCTCCCAACCAGCTCCGTTTGTTTTTTTCTTCCGCGACACTGTTTATTATTAAACACTGTCGTTTGCTAGTATAGCGGTACCGTTGGGCTTCCTCGCGGTACCGTTTTTAATTCCGCGGCACCGTTTTAGCTCTCCGCGGTGCCGCTTATCCCTATCCAACAAGGAATATAAATAATAATTAAATAATCAAAACTCCTCGTCCAACCTTCATTAAACGCGCGACCCTTTTTTATTTTCGGCCAGCGGTGTCGTTTCCGGTGTCGCGGTACCGCTGAGCCTCCTTGCGGTACCGTTTTAACTCTCCGCGGTGCCGCTCGACTCCAAACGACACCGTTTTTTACCCGCGGTATCGAATTAAATGCCGAGACTAATTAATGCGACATTTAATTCGGGCCAAATTAATTTTAGGTGTCAAAAAAAGGAACATACTGGCACACTTATGACTCATGCTTCCAACAAATTAACTTGACTCCTTTATTGGCAAACATATCTATCAACGTATAAAATGATAGAAGATAGGATCAGTGAAAGCCTTTCTACATTACATCAATCAAGGTTGTTCCATTTTAGTGCTAACAACGTATTTATGTACTTCTAGTTAGGGCTGGAAGTTTGGTACCGGTATTTGGTATATACCGAATACCGTATCGAATTTGTTCATATTTGGTATTATCGAATACACGAATTATTTTGTGAGATTGGGATTGGGATTGAGTTTCAATTGTTATTCGGTATTAGGGATTACGGGATTGGGATCGGTATATACCAAAATACCGAAATATAAGCTAATGTGTATTTTATCCTCTCAACTAGACTCTCTCATTCACTACTATGCGACCCTCAACCACCAATAGTGTCATTTAATTATACATAGATCATTACATCACTATTTCACACTAGTATTAGTCGTCTCTCAACCTCAAATTCATCAAATTAAAGATTACTAATTATAAAAACTTGAGATGTTAGCTCTAGGCAACTCAAGACTCTTTGTTTAGTCTCTTTGCCCTAAATTAAACAATAAAATCTAATTTATATATTTAATTATTAATAGCAAAGATAATTAATTTTGTATTTGATAATACCGATTGGGATACCGAGGTACCGATTGGAATACCGAAATATTTAGGGATTGGGATTGGGATACCGAAATTATTTAGGGATTGGTATTGGGATTGATTTCAGGGTGTAATTCGGTATTCGGGATTTCGGTATTTGGTATTGGGATACCGATACCGTACCGATTTCCACCCCTACTTCTAGTATTGAAAGTCTACGTCCACCTTTCATTAATTTGCGCAAGAATTGTAAAATCGTATTTGAAAGTGTACTGAAAAAGGTCAACAATACAGTATTTTGTACTGAAATCGTGAGTTAATTATTTCATATCGCTGAAATCAACTAACGGTTGTGATTTCGATAAATGATTTTTCAATCGCAATGTAACTGCCTATTTTTCTGATCAATATATGATTATATTTTGTAAAAAAAAAAAAAAAGTCGCACTGCTGGTGTAGTACGGTATTACATATTTTGCGTTGTTACACGTTTCTAGTGAGAACCGAGAAGGGTAATCAGTAAAGACGACAGAGCGAATTTCAGCTAGAAGCCCACTGTCCAATCTAGGTCCCGTCCAAATCCGGTCCAAACCTGATCCAGTGGGCCAATCTACAGCCCATTCCTTTTCACGGTAGTAGGAGTGTAGGACTGGACTGGACCCTCTCCAGAAAGTCAAGACAAACTCAAAACGCTCCTCCAAATTTCGAATGAGGAGTTGCAGAGCGCGAAATTTGAAGCACTCTCTCTCTCTCTCTCTCTCTCTCTCTCTCTTCCCCTGTAATTAACAATTGGTTTTGGCTTTACTGATTTCGAGTTTGAAATCTCTCCTCTTCCTCCTTTTCTTTTGTCCGTCTCTTGGGAAGAGAAGGTCCATTTCCATTCCCAACAGCAACTTGCTTCTTTTCTTTTCTTTTCTTTCCTCGCTCCTTTTTGTCAATTTCAATGCATTGTTATTAGCGTTCCTAATCTCATCCCTCTTCTCTCTCTCTCTCCATTTGAAATCACTAAACCAGAGGGCTCGGGTGGCCACCGAGAAGAGAAGAAGAATGGCTTCGTAGAAAGTTGCGGAAGAAAAATGTACCAGACGACGGAAACCATGCAAAGCCGTCGTCTCTTCCTCTTTCAACTTGCTTTGATTCTGGTACTGCGTTATTCCTACTCCGACTTCGTTTCAAGTGTTAGGGTTTGCTGTTAGTACTGATTGGGAATTCTTTTTTCCGGATCAGTCTCTGCAGCAATAGCTAGAAGCCTAATTACGTTTTTCCGTTACCGAGTAGCATTGTGTTTGGCTGCCGAGATAGTTCATAGTGTTGGTGAAGATAGAAACTTTAGGAATTAGGGTTTAAAATTCTGTATTTACATTGTTTTTTTTTTTGTTGGCAAATTAGAAACTCTGGAGTTTATGGTTTGACATTGTTATGATGCTATTCGCAGTGTTAGTTTCTTGAAGTACTGAGGAACGGAGGAAAGGATGAACTACAGACGGAGTGGTTCCGTTCTTTAGAAGCGCTTTTGGATAGTATTAGGGATTTGGGCAACGGGGTGCAGTTCAAGATGAAGGCACATACGGTAGCAAGAGGGAGAGGAACCTCGAGGGTCAATTCGCAGCAGTCTAATTTCGAGCTGAAGCACAAAGTGGTGCTTGCACTCAACAAGCTAGCGGATCGTGACACCTGCCACTTAGGCGCCGATGAGCTTGAGAGAGTGGCTGAATCTCTAACCCCAGATGGTATTGCGCCGTTCCTGTCGTGTATACTGGACACTGATAAGGAGCAAAAGAGTGCAGTTAGGAAGGAATGTGTCAGACTGATTGGTATGGTGGTGACATTTCATGGGAGTCTTGTCGCGCCACATCTTGCTAAGATGGTTGGTAGCGTCGTGAGGAGGCTTAAGGATTCGGATTCGGTTGTGAGGGATGCGTGTGTTGAGACGATGGGTGTTTTGGCTTCTACGGTTAGTAACCATGGGGATGAATCTGATGGGGATTTTGTTGTGTTGGTGAAGCCCCTTTTCGAAGCTTTGGGTGAACAGAATAAATACGTGCAGTCGGGTTCAGCATTGTGCTTGGCTAAAGTCATTGACAATACTCAGGATCCTCCAGCTCCCATTTTGCAGAGGATGTTGACTAGGATTATGAAGTTGCTAAAGAGTCCACACTTCATGGCTAAACCAGCAGTGATTGAGTTGACTAGAAGTATTCTTCAGGTGATCTATAACAGGCTCTTATCTTCTACTTTCTTGGTTGTTTTGGTCTTGTTCATTATTCATTTTCATTGGCCAGTGCTTGAGAAGTGCCTTGAATGTATGTCGTACCATGAGCTAGTATTCAACTATCAGTTGAAAAACTTCAGAGGAACTCCTTTCATTTAGTTATCCTTACCACTTTGGGACTGCATGACGAGTTTGTACATTGCTGCACCATTAATGTTAAGACCCTATTATTTGAACAACCTTGATCACTGTCCAAATTAGCTTCACAGTCTACCAGCAGGAGAGACATTCTTCTCCAAAGTCCAGAATGAATTTTTTTCAAATGAATTTATAGTTAAATGTCCGGTTGATTTGAAAGTTTAATCAACCTTTACAATGTTTGTTATGATATCATTGTTTAAATTGCGTTGTTTGGCCTGGCTACCAGTGATGGCTCTATCTGCCCCGAGAGATGATACAGGGGACTGGTGCTTTTCATGAACAAATGTTAACATTCTCCATTCGCAAGTTGGAGTTTATCTATTTGGAATTTGTAACGACCGGCCTTCTCCATTTGTATTCCAGGCAGGTGGTGCACCATCGCGAAATGTTTTAGCTGCTGCAATGACTAGCATCCAAGAAGCTCTAAAAAACAGTGACTGGACCACACGCAAGGCAGCTTCCGCAGCTCTAGGAGAAATTGCTGATGGTGGCGGGTCTTGCTTGGGTTCTTTCAAAGCTTCCTGCATTCGATCCCTAGAATCATGCCGTTTTGATAAAGTTGGTGATGTTTTTTTTTTAAAAAATCTTGATTAATGTTTTGAATCATTGTTGATGCTTATTGTGTGTCTTATAGGTGAAACCTGTTAGGGACAGTGTACTTCATGCCATGCAGTACTGGAAAAGTCTTCCTGGGACTGATGCTCCAGAAGCTTCTGAAACGGGGTCCTCTATAAAAGGTTTTTGGCTGATGCCCCGTTCTAATCAGAATTAATAGTCGTGTTTCCAATAGTTAAGAAAGCATGGTTTACTGTTCCAGAACCTTTCCAGCTTATGGTTCTTCTTCTACATTATCCTTTTCTGTTATTGGAGGGATTCTTTGGGTTACCTTTGGCTTCTTCATCAGCACGATCTTGCTTTCTTCTATAGTTTTCTGCATGCAGCTAATGATTATTTTTGTACAGAAAACTTTTGCGGAGGTGAGTACAGTGACATCACAAGTACCAGTGGTTCTGCACAGAAAGATGTCATAATAATGAATAAAGTTGTATCAGACCCAACTAAGAGAAGGATTCCTTTGTCCGTAAAGAGAGGGTGCCAGAATTACACAGACTCGCCACAGTCTAAATCAGACGATTGGCATATTGAAATCGCAGTTCCTAAACATCATGATTTGCCTTTGCCGGATCAGAATGAGGAATCTGAGGGTAGTAGCTCTATTACGAGGACTTTAGAGAGAACGAGCATTGACATTTCCAGTGCTCCTGATGTTAGCTGTGAATATGTGCCAATGGATGACAAACATGACTGTTTTTCAGCGTCCAAGAGAAGTTCAGTTCATCATGACTCTCTCGAGAGTGGTGCTTTACTGAAAGTAATGGGAAGACGCCAGCATGTTGCAGCTGCAGGGATGAATACTGAAGACGTGTATTGTGTAAACGTTCAAGATCGTAGAAGTCTTGATTCCACAGTTACTGAATCTAGCTTCCAGCCTTCACATGGATGTTGCTCACATGTGGTGAGTGAAGTGGCCTTAATTAGGAAACAGCTTTCAGAGATTGAGAGTAGACAAGCGAACTTGATGGACGTGCTGCAGGTAACTCCTTTGTAAGATGAATGTTTGATGGAAATAGTACAAAGTTTTATCATAGTTAACTATGTAAGTGAACAATTACCAAGCAGACCAGAATCTCCACCCTGCTTATTTATTGGTTTATCTGATCAGTTACATGGTAAAGTTGCGTTACTATTTTTTGGTGGGGTTTCCCTCAAGTTTGATGGTTACATGTGAGGTTTCTAGAAATTTCTAATGATGCATATTCATTTGCAGGAATTCACAGCTGGGATAATGGAGAACATGTCTGGTTTAAAGTCTAAAGTGTCAGGATTAGAGCATGAAGTGGATCGGATATCTAGCTTTCTTGTGCAAGGGGCTAGGCATTCAGAATCAGCTGTTTCCCGGATTATGAAGCAGAACCAAAATGGTTCCTCTCCTAGATGCACACCCAGGCCATCTATTGATATTCTATCTAGGCAGCCTTCACATTTTTCCGTTAAGCACACTGATATTTGGGATGGTTATAGAACTAGATCGAGAAATTCAGTATCAGCCAATCAAGGTACAGAAATCAGCCCTAATACTAGTGTAGTTGCTACTAGGAACCTTACAGGGAAAGGAATGCTGAAAAGTTCTGGTAGAGGTTCCCAGAGCACCGTTCCAAATGTCAAGAATGGCAGCAAGCAAAGTGCGATGGAGAATCGGAACTTCTATTGGGAACGTGTAAAAGATTTTATGTGTGAAGGCGACGTGGACTCTGCATATGCCGAAGCTCTTTCTTCTGGCAATGAACTTATTCTAGTCGAGCTTATCAATAGGACTGGTCCTGTACTGGAATGTCTTTCCCGTCAAACCATGAATGCAGTTCTTACAAGTTTGGCATCGTACTTCTTGGAGCAGAGATTTATCAACTCCATCATACCCTGGCTGCATCAGGCAAGTTATTCAATATATTTGTCCGGTTTCCTGTTATGTTTTGAAAAGTGCTCTATCCTTTTTGGTACCAGTTACATGTCAATAATGTTATCTTCTTCCTGTGGCTATATCTATTACTCTGACTTATTTATGAGATGGATCAGCTCGCTTTGTTTCATTTCATATCCACATGCTTCAAAAACTTACGGTTGTTTTCTCTTTTTGGGTGTAGGTTGTGGAGCTGAGCTCAATCCATGGACCAGATTATCTTGGTCTCTCTTCTAAAGGAAGAAGAGAATTCCTGTCTGCGATTCAGGAGGCAGTCGGTGTGGGATTCTCGAACCCTGCTGAAAGAAAATCTGTTACTCAGCTTGCAGCAAAACTACAGCAACTGTGGGGTAAGACAGAACATTCTGCTCTGCGCAAGGCTTCAATCTGTTCCATGTACTAGCTTAGACTCCCGAAGAGTATAACCTCCATTGCAGCTAAATTGCGAATGGATCTTCTGTCTATCCCTCCCGAAACTTTCAAAAGGTTATGGATAATTTTGTTGTTGTTGAACAAATTGGATACTGAGAATTGCTGCTTAGAGTTTTTCATTGCCTGCTGCTACAACAAATTAATCCGTCGTTACTTCTAGCCTTCTCTCTTCCGGGTGCATTTGATCCCCATGATAGAAAGGTTATTTGCATATATGTCTGCACATTATGGCGTGTATTGAGCTCTCTCAAAGTTCTTTGCATCATGGCTGTCAAATACTCAAATTGCATATCTATTTGCTGCTGTAGTTGGCTTTTTCTTTCTTACTTGCAAACTATATCCTAAATTTCCCCCTCTAACAATGGTGTCTTGAAACTTGCTTGACAGGAAGGAACCCTTGACATCTCCAACTGGATCAACTCAGCTTCTAATTTCTCTGGCCCGCCCTTGCTTGTTCACTGGGTAACCGTCTGCTTTTAGCTCTTGCTGTCGGCTGCTGCCATTTTCTTCAACTTTTTCTGTTTTGTTCTGCAAGTGGTGGCGTTCTGTTGCCTTAGCTTGATGTAACAGTTTCTGTCGAATCATGTTCTAGATGCCGGTGTGTGATGGATGAATCCCGGTGCTTTGCTTGTGAAGTTGTGTTATTAGTAAAATGCAGATCAAAACGACCTTTTTAACTCCCGAAGAGAGAACAAGAGCAAAGTTAGAAAACACAAAACACCATCAACTTAGAACCTCTTCATCAACCGTTGTCGGCCTTAATAATGGCTTTGGCGTTGACTATGATAAAGTGCAATTGCGAAGAGGGTTTCCCTTGATAACTACATTCATTGAATGTGTTGAACTGTGCAAATCTTGGGATTATCTTTTAGATAGATTTTTGTATGCCACCATGAAAGGTTCTAAACAATTGGACTCAGTGAGTTGAGATAACTCCACTCAAATTGTTGTGAGAATGATATGTAAAATTAAATGTTGTTAGGATAGAATTCCTCCCTCAACACATATGAACAGTTGAGCATTAGATGTTATTCAAATGACACATTTCAAAAGATATCCCACAGATAAAATTGTTGTTCGAGATATCTGAATCGGACATTAACTAGAGAATCATCCCAAATAAGTATACATGTTATTTTTGGTTGTAAATTTTAGACCACCGAAAGGGAGATATTCTAGTCTCGCATGGTAACGAGTCCGATTGAATGTGAATGTAAAGGAAACTTGGAGCGCAAGTCAAGCAACTGGGTATCTTTACAATTTCGGCCTATGGCCGGCAAGGAGACTCCTTTCTGCATCTTACTTTCAAGTTTCAATTCCATCAAATTCGCATAGTCATTGTTTATCAACAGATCCCAGAAGCAAAACGTAAGTGCAATGAAGCTAACGAAGGCAAGGCTCACAGAGCTCACATACAAAAAGGAACCGGGTAACAAAAAGAACAACAAACCCCATCAACATTCCTTGGGGAACAAGGAAGTTTCTTTCTCCTACCTTGATAAGGAAACGTAGAATAAAAAAGGTTGCACTCATATTTTTTCTTCTTCTTACCCCTCCATTACACCAAAATGGGACAGACCTGCTTGACACATTTCTTACAATTTCAAGTTCTGTTCCAAAAATTGGGTTACAACACTATATAGATCATCATAATAGTATACACAGGACACACTCTTCCACTTCTCCCCAAACTCAGGGTTGATGACTATTTGCATTGCTTACCACATTTGGCAATCCGCCAGGTTGACGATGGTGATGCTCAGGAGAAGATGCATTGCTGCCATGCTGCTCTACTGAGACCTCACTACCAACGCTCCTACAGCTTCCTTCCCCTTCTCTTTTGCTCCTTCCCTTGGCTGAATGACTGCGGCCTGGATCCTCGTAAAGAGTCACACCTTTATGGTTGTTGTTATGGAACATTGACTCGTCGATGTCGTTGTCCTTCGATTGTACGCTCTCTAGCAATTCGACCACCCCGCTCATCAGTGGTCTCCCCTTGGGGTTTTGGCTAAGGCATTGGTAAGCTAAGTTTGCTACTTTCATGGCCGTCCTACTCGAGTACTGGCCGTCCATTCTAGGGTCTAAGATTCTCAAAATCTTCTTGTTCTGGTTCAAGAGTGGTCGAGCCCACTCGACTAAGTTGTGTTCTCTGCTTGGCCTGCTCTTGTCTAGTGCTCTCCTTCCCAGAAGCAACTCTAGTAGCACTACACCGAAACCATACACATCGCTTCGAGCTGTCAAGTGCCCTGTTTGACCATAAAACCAAATGCTAATTCAGACAAATTTTCTCTCCTCAGAAACGAGATTAATGGAGAAGTGGGATTTCTCACAAGGAGCTTAACAGACTCTGAAATCTGCTACTAATTACAAGACGAACAGCGCAGTTACCATCCATACCGTTTCTGATTGGGTTTTCAATTCTAGTGGGTAAATGGAAGAATATGATGCACAAGCTAATGGCGTAACTTACCGGTCATTACATACTCAGGAGCAGCATAACCATAGGTCCCCATTACTCGTGTTGATACATGGGTCTGGTCTCCCATCGGTCCATCTTTGGCAAGCCCAAAATCGGAAAGCTTTGCATTGAAGTCCTGCACAGCATAAACAAAAGAACTAGCTCAAAAGGCTTCAAAACAATAAGAAGAATGCTCCTAAATTTTCGGTGGGCAGGAGATACATTTCATCAAGTTATTGAAACAAACCAAGAGACCAACGGACATTATAAAAGACACAAGAGTAAGCATTGACAACTAACCGCATCTAGAAGGATATTTGATGTCTTGAAATCACGGTATATGACAGATCTTTCTGCACCGTGAAGAACAGCTAGTCCTTTAGCAGCATCTAGAGCGATCTTCATTCTCTTTGACCATGTCAAAGTACAACCAACTCCTGGTGTTCACAGAACAAAAACAGTAAGAGGAAAACGACCTTAATTCCTCTTCCAGATGCCACAACATTTGGATATCACAAGAACGATGCCAAAACATGATGTGTAACTACATTCCCAAAAAAAGAGTCAGTTCATAGTTCATTGATGGAGTACATTATCATCCAGCGAACTCGTTCTTCAGTGTTTGTTCATCAGTTCCTTGTTTCTCATAATGACTGGTTAGTAAGTTGTTTCCCTTCTCCGATTGGTAACAAATCATCCCCCTCCATGGATCAAGTAATTAATATTTGGTGAATTGATTAACATGTGAAAACGTATGAAAGTTACAAATGACATACTTCGGAAAAGATGTTTTTCCAGACTTCCACTGGCCATGTACTCATAGACCAACAGCCTGTGCTCGTCTTCACAGCAGTAGCCAATAAGCTTTACCAGGTTAGAATGACTGAGTTGACCTAAATAGTTGACTTCTGCCTGCAAAGAAAACATTGACATAAGAACAGCAAGCAAGTTTCCCTTTTCATACTCAAAGCAGTTTTCAACTAGGCAAACCAGTCCCCCACCTAGGACATGATAATATCCGGAAAAACGACCTCATTCTAGTATCGCCAACCCACTTATCTCCCATATTTCAGACCTCATACAATGTAGTAGAAAGAGGTACAAGAATACATTGCAGCATTGAGAAAACAACTGCTGCAACTAGAGCACACATGGATGGGCAAAGATAAAGAGAGGGAAAGCTCAAAATACCAGCCATTCACGGTCTCCTTGCAACCCTTCCGGATTAAGCTCCTTGATTGCTACATATGTGGTAGGATAGCCAGGCCTTACACTCTCATCTATGACTCCCTTATAAACAACACCAAACCCACCTTCTCCCAGAATGAAATCCGGCCTGAAGTACTTCGTCGCCAGAGCCATTTCCTTGTACGTAAAGATATCGACATTACTATATACCGGATTGTTTCGAAGATCAGAAAGGTTCCTATGAACTTTGGGAGCTGTTGTCTTGGTCAAACTTTGTGTATCAAACGAGCCTGGCTTATTCAGCGCAGCAGACGACTTTTTGGATTCACTTCCTCCTGATTTCCACACAAGAACAGTTACATAACACATCAGAGACATCCACAAAACCCCATAAGCCAAACCTTCCATTAATGGAAACATCGTAAGCATTAACTATTAACAAATTGGAACTAACAGGAAAAAAATATAAAAGGGGGAGAAGTAAGAAAGAAGCAAACACATGTAATCAATAACAAAGACGGCATCTTTCGAAGAACCTTCGAAATTTGAACATAAATATACAGTCGGGCAGAGAGGGAAAACACAAGTCAACCCGAGTAGAATCCGGCGCATTCCATATATAAACAAAGCTGCCGCCATTAATGAACCCAAGAATCCCAAACTAATAATTCGTTAACAGAGTAGGAAAGGACAAAGCTGCAATCTTTTCGAAAGAGAAACATCAAGGAAGATGATTGGATTGGATTGATCGTTACCCTTGGAACTGACGGAAGAGAATTGCCGATGTTCTTGAGAGAACCGCTGGTGTTTGCTACCCTCGGCACTGCTGAAACAGAGCCCCATCAACTTCGACTGGAAATGTAATTTTAATCTTTAGACCAAACCCATCTTACACTTCAATTCTCCCCTATCAAACATCTATCCGCAGGCAACGGAAAATGCCAAATTCCTAGAGAGAGAATTGGAAAGCACAAATATCTAATCGGGAGGGGGGGCCCTCAACCCACAAGGGAAAAAGAAGAACAGGGGAAAAAGAAGATTGAATGGAGGAAGGAGAGTGGGCGGGGGGAAATCGAATGGGTTTTCAGATCTGATCTGGGCTCGCCGGAATCCTCTAATGGTCGTCGCTGCCGCCACCGCCGCCGCCACGGATTCCGCCGGAACCTAAAGGGAAAGTGGGACGGAAAGCGCCAAGCGGGCAAATCAGGGAATTGGGTTTGGTGGGAGATGGGAAGTATCAAGTATGAGATATAGTAGGTTGAAGAAAAAGCAGGGGTCTGTCACCAGAGACAGAGAGTTAATTATTTTTAGATTTCTAGCATGTGGCTTCCATTTTTGTTCTTAAACAAGAAGAAACCGCCAAAATTCGCCACCAGACCAAACGGGCCCCCGCGGCTTTCAAAGTCTTCTAAGAACTACTCCTCTGCCTTTCTCCGAAAAAAACTATTTAGGAAGAAGAGAAGAGAAATGGTTTGCATTTCGTTGTATAGCTGTTTTTCGAGATTGAGAAATGATTTGATTCGCAGAAACAAAAAAATGTGACTGCTCAATAGTCTCAAATAAAACTGGATTACGTTTCATTTTTCACTCAACAATCTTCTTTTCAGTTAATTTTGGTTTTCGGTTCATCGTTGACTGAAGTATAATTGTTTTTATTGATATTGTAATTGTTCTTATTGATATTGAATTACGTTTTAACTATATATACTAGATTCATAATAAACTCATTACCTTATCTTTTGATGTTAAGTGAGAGAGTCACCGTGACAAATTAGAAATTTGATTATTGTTTTCTTGTTGGAGAAGTAGTCATGTTTTAGGTAGGAGAAATGAGATGCTCTTGTCCTATAAATATCTATCATTTCTCCAATTTAATGGTATGAAGAAGATTGAAAATCCAAACCTTAGTTTATTTTCTTTCTTTTATCGCAATTAATCTATTTTAGATGTTTTAACGCAAGTAAATTACGCGACAATAATTCTTCTTATCTCGCGACAAGAATTCTTTCTTCTTATCTCATAACATTTGACTATCAACTTACAATTAAATAGGGCACAAACTTTGGGACTTGTCACTTCATGGGGAGTCTTGGTCTCCTAGACTCGATCGCAGTGGCGAGAGGTAAGTTAATTACTTTTAGATTACAATATTTGGGTTAATATATTTGTATGATGCAAAATTTTCACATATTAAACATATTGATCAACCTTTTCGATTTATAATTTTGTGAGCTAAATTATGTATCAAAGTTATGAAATTGGTCAAACCCGAAATTTGACTGTTATCTTGAACGGTCAAACGCGTTGACTAACGGTCAACGTGTCACGTTAGTTTTAAATCAACACAAATCACTTAAATTTTTTGAATTTTTTCCACCTATATCCATTTTTTTTATTTTGAACAAAAAGAAAAAGAAAAGAAAATTTAGAATTAATCAAAACCACAAATTAAACCCTTCCATAAAATCGGCATGGAAGAGCACTAGTATGATCGAACCTATATACAGAATGAAGTTTTAGTGAATTTAATTAATAAGATTGAATTGTAATTAATTTCATGAATTTAAAAGTTAAATATTTATATTATTTGTTGGATTTAAGTATAAAACTTAGGTGTTGACTTTAAATGTTGTACATAAATATGAGTATTTGTTATTTTGTTTGAAACGTTGTATTTTATTTAAATATAAATATAGATTATAAGTAAATTATCTTTAATTATATTTTATATACACTTAAATTTATTTGATATTAATTGGCTTTCATATTTTTATATATTTTATTGAATCGACACAAACCGATTGTACCACCGGTCGAACGATTCTACTTACTAAACCGGTGCAGATATAAGTCAGTTTGACACCCTTGATTTTTACACGTTTGGGACCAAAATAATTTTCTTACTTGTTAGCTACTTTTTTTTACACGTTTTAAACCTCATTTCATTATTGGTCACCAGCTGTCCAATTATGTTAAGTAAATTTTAACCCTTAAATTTAATGATGGGACTATTAAATTTTTTAAAAGAATAATAAATAATTTGTTTTTGGGTAATAGTATAATATGTCTTTTTTCTCAAACATACCCCTCTACTATATTTTAAATCAAAATTTTCCTTCTATTATTACCACGATATCAAATCTGCCCTTCTGTTAATATTTACGTCCGGATACCATTAACTCCGATTCAACTAGTTCGAAGTAGGAAAAATGAGAGGGGAAAGGTCAGATTTACCCCTCCCTCTGGCTTACACACATATGTGTATCAATTAAATTCACTAAGACAACGTCATTTTATATATAAGCTCGATCATACTGGTGCTCTTCCACGTCAATTTTATGACCGATACCGGTCGACCCAGATTCATCGACCAATATGCCATCGACACAACAATCATGGTAAAAATTGATTAACTAAATAATCAAACGTGTAATTTAAACCACTTAAATAACTTAAACTTGTTGGAAGCTCCACTGATTCTTACTACACTTCAGTGGTTGGTAGCATTAGAAGGTTAGTTATTCACTCTAATTCTTTTCTCTCACAAGGCAATGACTTGTAACCACCGTGATCGCAAGATCCATTCCCCTGCCTCCACCACCACCAACCCTATCATAACTCCAATGCCGAACAAACAAACTCCCCCACTTTCGTCGCCATAAATACATCATTATATACACCTCTTCCGCTTGATTTTGACTGGATACAGAGTGAAAAATCAACCAAGAAGAACCAAACATGACGGAGGAAGAGAAGAAGGAAGGAGTAGCCGCAGTCGCAGAAGTGTCGAACAAACAGGTAGTACTAAAAGCGTACATCACCGACGGCAGAGCCCCGAGGAAAGACGACATGGCGGTCACCGTCTCCACGCTGCCGGAGCTCAAAGCCCCAAAAGGGTCCGGCGGGTTCCTCGTCAAGAATCTCTACCTCTCTTGCGACCCTTACATGAGAGGCCGAATGCGCCCTCCTTCCCCTGCTTCTTACATCCCCTCTTTCCTTCCCTCCAGAGTAAATCCCAATTTCTCCCCCAAATCCCCTGTTTTCACTTATCCCTAATTTCCAATTGTTGACGTTTTTTGGGTTTCAATTGTGCCAGCCGATTGAAGGGTTCGGGGTGTCGGAGGTGGTGGATTCCGACAACCCCGAATTTCAGGCCGGCGATTTCATCGCCGGGATGACCGGCTGGGAAGAGTACACTCTGATTCAGAAACCACAGCAACTGAGGAAGATCAGTCGAAACCACGCCGTTCCATTGTCTTACCATTTGGGGCTCCTCGGGATGCCCGGATTCACGGCCTACTGTGGGCTTTACGAGCTCTGCTCGCCCAAGGCCGGCGAGTTCGTGTTCGTCTCCGCGGCTTCCGGTGCCGTCGGGCAGATCGTCGGGCAGCTGGCTAAGTTGGAGGGTTGTCGTGTCGTCGGCAGTGCTGGTTCTGCAACTAAGGTCGTTAATCGACGACTCAAAATTAGCTTCTCTTTTTGGGTTTCTGTGAATTGGTTTGGGCAATATCGTGAATTGGGTTGGTGTTGGCTAAATTTGGAAGGTTGAGATGCTGACGAGTAAGATGGGATTTGATGCGGCTTTCAACTACAAGGAAGAAGCCGATCTTGATGCCGCTTTGAAGAGGTCAGCTACCTACCCTTTTTCCTTTAGCTTTCATACTGCGGAAGAAACGTTACTATAAACTTGAGAGTTGAGAGTAATCTTGCCAAATGAGTTTAAAATATTAGGTCGGTTTTGTAAGAGGTATGGTATAGTCGGTGAGTATATTTATAAGAGTCTATTCGTATTATTATGCTGATTTGACCTATACGAGAACGAGGAAGGCAAAAGTTTACAAATTGAAAATGAGAATGAAGACGGTGATGAGTTTAGCAAAATCCATTCATACCCATCCATTGCCATCCCTAATCACAATAAGAAAAGGTTTAGCCGGTGCAAACTTAACAAACTATTTCTTTTATAATTAGTCGGTTTATATGAAAAATACCTTAGGTTTTTGGAAAATCAGTGACAAAATTACCTTAACAAGTAGAGAAAGATTGAAAATAACACTTCAAGTGTACCGGATAGGGTGCTAACACCATGCTAACAAAATTATGAGTAATATTATCGTAACTACTGTACATAGTAGTTACTCCATCCCGTTGCTTTCCGCCTCCCTTCCTCCACTTCTCTCTCTTTGCAAAAAACAATCAGCATTCACCAGATTGCTTGTAAAATAATTAATCTTACCATTATAAAATAATTATTTCACCGGTATGATTTTTTTTATTACTTAGTGATCCTTTCGGATGATTTTCTGGGTGGTTTATCATCCTTTTGGTATGTTTCACTAGAGTTCTTGTGTGGTTGCACATATTTCTAGTATGCTTGAGGAAGCTTTGATCATATTTATGAGATTTCTGGTCTATCTCAAGGAACTTGTAGTCCTTTTACATAGTTGGATTGTGCAAAAAAATTGTTGCAGGTACTTTCCTCAAGGGATCGACATCTACTTCGACAACGTCGGGGGAGAAATGCTGGACGCCGCGCTGCTGAACATGAGAGTGAAGGGCCGAATCGCGGTGTGCGGCATGGTGTCGCAGCACGCCGTCACCGATTCCGGCCCGGGAATTCGCAACATCTCCAACGTCATCGTCAAGCGCATCAAGATGCAAGGGTTCCTCCAGAGCGATTTCCTGCACCTTTACCCGCGCTTTCTGGACCACGTCACCGCGCACTTCCTTGCCGGCGACATTGTCTATGTTGAGGACGTGGATGACGGTCTCGAGAGCGCTCCGGCCGCCCTCGCCGGGTTGTTCACCGGCGAGAATATTGGCAAGAAAGTTGTTCGTGTTGTCCCCCCTGAATCACGAAATTCGATGAATTGAGATGTAGTTAGTTAGATTTTAATAAAAGAAAATGCTATGCAACCTGACTTTTGCTTAGATCATTTTGTATACTTTTTCCATCCAAAACCGAGCTTAGTAGAGACTAGAGAGCCCTAAAGAAGCTTTACCAAATCTGGGATGCTGAGATTTCTCTTTTAACTGCTTGATTGCCCACTTGACTTCTACTGAGGTGGATCATTAGGATTACCAAAAAGTTAATGTTTGATAATTAAAAATGTTTTATTCCATTTGCGGTTACTATAATTAGTTGAATATTTCAAATTTGGTCACTTTTTTTTAGTTTCCGTGAGCCTCTATTAACATCATCATCAGTGTTTTGCCAAGATAGCTAACAAAAGTGACGATTCACCCAATTTTGATATGAAAAGGTAAAAATCGACCCATACAATCAACTAAACCTTGCTAATGACCCAACCTAACCACATATGACCAGACCTGACCCTATTTTCTCTCTCTCCCTTCTCCCCTCTAGCCCTCCTCACCGCCCCTCACCTTTAACCCGACCCTTTCCAGTGAAGCTTGTCATCCAATTCTCTCTTCTTCTCAAATTCTGGAGTAGCCAACAATTGATTTCGTTCTTAATTTTCATGGCGAGGGCCGCCTTTGGTCTCGAAACCGTTGCGGTTGTTGTCAACTCTGCGGTCTACACCGTCGAGGGAGCCCAACATGTGGTTATCTTCAACCGTTGTCTCCACCGTCATGGCGAAGGTACTTGATGACACTCAAAAGATAGTGTTTATCAATCTCATATTTGATACATTTTCCTTTTCTGTCAATACACTTTTAGTACTTTTTTATATATTTTATACCTAAATAATAATTATTTGATCAGTGGACATTAACATACCTAGGTTGTGTTTTTGTTCTTTTATGCATTTTTCACATGTTTTTGTGCTTTTCAAGGTAAACTACAACTTAGGAGAATTTGGATTAAACATTGGATGATTCTGGAGGACCAAAAGAGCTAAAGAGAGAAGATTATGGAGTTTTCATGTAAAAGACGAGGTTTAATGACGGAGAAACCTACTAGGAACCACTAGTAGATCCCACGAGGAGTCCAATGGAGGAAGACTCGGCTCAAACCGAAGCATGAATCAGTGGCGGCCGAGTGTCAGGTCCAACCGCCGCTCAAGCAAACTTGGACAAATCACGATGAAATCTTCAGGAGAGGTTGCTTATGCGCCAAAGAGCTTAGCCACGAAGAAAGCACGTGGCAGTCTTAGCCGTTACCCAACCATCATTCCAAGGCCCAAGTGCAAATAAAGATCGTTAGGCCATGCTTTGACCCCAAGTCATAGAAACCTTGTCCTAATAGGGTTAGGAAGATTTTTGGCCAAGTTTTACCTCTACAAATAGGGAGCTAGACTCATTAGTTCAATAGGATGTATAAATCTTGTCAAAACTTCTGTAGACACTCTATTCGAGTGGGAGCTTAACATTCGTAGGAGAGGGCGCAGCTAAGGAGATGCATTTATCATCGATGGTGGTACCATCCTCCTCTTCTATTAGTTATCAAATCCTATTTATAAATTATTTTGTGTGAACTAACTATTTTAATTACTTCTTCCTAACTAATTTATTTGGTATTGATGATTTCCATAAAATCAACACAACCAACACAAACGGGTTGTACTATCAATTGTACCCTTTCACTTGCTAAACCAGTATAACAGTGTAAACCGATTTGACAACCTTGGTTACATACGGAATCAAGAGCTTAATGACTTGGTCTGATCTAAAAGTAATTGGGTTGGTCCTCGACCGGTTGTTGGAGTACAAGCTGCAATTGAGGCTCAACTCAGACAGGTAGGGATGACAATTTTGACCTGACCCGTTTTACCCGACCTGTTTGACCTGTTTTGGGGCGGACATGGGTATTCTCATCGACCTGACCTGCCCTATTCTCGACTCGTTCTTGCCTAAATTACATGTAATTTAGTCAAATTACATGTAATTTAGTCAAATTACTTAGGATTCTCCTTATATTACATCATATTTTAGCTATTATAAAGTTGTAAATTAGTGAAAATCCCAATTTCTCCAATAATTTAACTATACTTTATTATATTATGATTTAATTTTTGGTAATGAATATTTCTAATGCTTTCCATATAAATTGCAGCATACCTATTGGGTAATTTTGAAATCCTTACCAACTTGATCTTGTTGCCCCCGGCCCGCACCCGTGATAAATTACCCGTCACAGACCTGACTTGTCACGGGGCGGGTATGGGTATCGTGATACCCGCCCCAGACCTGCCCCATTGCCATTCCTACATGTAGGTGCGGTTCAACCAAAACGGGCACCCATTCCACCCGGACCACCCCGCTTTGGATCCAAATCCCGGGGAGAAACTCACACCCGGAAAGCCCTAGATTAGCTCCCTAGCGAATCGCATGATCGGGTCCGTCGGCACTCAACAGTCAGCACTAGCTCTCAGTCTTTTGATCTCCAATGGCGGACGAAGCGAACAGAACTGTAAGAACAGCCTTCACTTTGCTCTCTATGCAACGCCTAATCCCGTCAATGGGAGCTGCTGTGATTTTAATACCCATCTTCCTCATGTGGATTTGTGGAAATATTGTTGCTTCCGCAGGCTTTTATGGAGATTCAAGGTCGCATGATCGAGACTACCGCCAAACTTAAGCAGGTTAGTCGCTGTTCAGATGTTTTTGGGTTTCTAGTGTCATCACCTGTTATGCTATGTATTTGCTGGAATTTTGAACTCATTGGACCAATCTGGACGCAAATTTTAAAGGTCATAGAATCCTTAGTAGCTAGCTTCAGGGGATTACTCTCCACTCCATAGATTATCTGTTAAGATGAGTAAGTTGATTTGAATTCGAAACATCATGGTCTTGAGTCTTGACCAAGAATTGGGTACTCTGTGTTAGTAAACGGTATATGATCCACAATTGAACTTCTTCAAACAACTCGAGTTATTGGGATCAACTGGTTCTTGACACTCTGCCAGGGGATGTCATTCTACTATGCGATTTTAGCTTGTGTTCTTGCTTGTAATATGTTTCGGGTTAAGTGATTCTTGTGAAATCTGTATCGTGGGAACCAATGTATGGTATGTGTGATCGGGATTTTAGATTCTTTGTCACAGTGAAGCATGGCAATGAACTGAAAGCTCTTTTGTGAACTGGGATGTGAGGCTTGTGCCCTGCCTTCTGTAGATGAAAAGCTGTGATGAAAAATCACAAGGGGAGACCACTTGATGTTTCTCTTTATTTGCTTTTTGTTCTCCGTTTTCTTGCTTGGTTTGGTGCTTGTTATACTTCAGAAGATGAATGAATGGCTGGCAAAAGTTGTTGTCATTAATCTGAATCGACGGGCTTTCATTTCAGGTGCAGAACCAGATGCGTACTAAAGAGGGAGAAAAGAAGCGTGCTTACCTGACTTTGCAGGAGTTGCAGCAGGTACCCGATGGCACAAATACATACAAGTCCATAGGTAAGAAGGCAGAAAACTTCCTTTACATGGGGCTCTATCCTGCGCTGCTCCTTTTGTCTGCTATTATTGCTGGTTTATCGAGCTGATTTTGTTGTTTTGTTATTTGACTATTTCCATATTGTGAGGGCGAAACGAATTGAGGTTAACATTCATGCCTTTATCCTTCTGCAGGGAGAACGTGAGTAGTCCTGCACAGTCTGGTTTTGCTCTTGCCAAATGACGACCTGTTTACTGTTAGGTACGTGACTGTAAGTAATGGATCTCTCTCTTCTATGGTGACCAGGTTCGTCTTGGAGCCTAAGCCTGTGTTGATGACTGAGCAAGAGCAAAAGCACAAGGACAGTGAATCTGCAATAGCATCGCTGCAGGTACATAACCTTTCTCATTCTCTTCTCCTTTTGCTGCTGCTTCCAACTCTCTGTCTACTAATCACACCAACTCCTACTCACAACAAATTTAACGTAATATCTTCCATATCACTGTATGTTTTCGCGATGTAAAATTTCTTCGTTAAACTCTGGGAACCTCGTTGCTTGCCACTAGAGTTTGAAAATGTCATCAAAGTTATGTCTTGCCTTGTTAAACTTAGATAATGAATCTCTGCTTTTACTGAACTGGACCACTCTTTCATGAGAAATGGTAATATAAACTGCGAATCACGTTGTGTTTGGACAGACCTCCAAGGAATACTTGGAAAAGCAGATGGCGGAGGTGGAGAACAACTTGAGGGAACTTTTGCAGCAGGACCCTGGTCTTGCCCGCCAGATTATGTCCATGAGAGTGTAATGTAATGTAAGCGAGTCCTCGAATATCGTCCTGGTTTTACTACAGATTTGCCGTTTGATTGAATAGTAGCTGGTTGGAAGCCAGTCGATTCTTGGCTCGCCTCATTTTTAATGTGTACACCTGCAAATATCTGCAGTGCCTTTGCATTTCAGTTTTGCTCATATAATCATTTTATGTAAAATTGCACTAAAATTTGCAAATATACACCACATATTTGGTAATGACACAATGGTCATTCCGTGGTTAATCCAACACAAATTCATGGCATTTTAACATAAAACACACACTAAAATCATCAAAATCAATGCATTTGTATGTATGACACTTATCAATGATCAATGATCTATGAATATAAAGGTGCAAGTAACTTAAAACTAGAATTTAGAAGATCTGCAAAATACATCGAGTATTTATCTTGAACACCTAAACTAAAGTATGCATGAATACATAGTTTTCATCTATTTGGACGATTAGTTTTAGTTATCATATTAGGTACCGTATGAACTTGGAATGAATACGATTAGTTTTTATCTATGTTGGAGTCAACGATTAGTTCTCATCTATTAGTACAAAGAATATGTAGAATCCAATAAGTTATTGTATGAACTAGATATATTTGGAAGACACGAAGAATTGTTATGGGTTTTTAAAGTAATTATGAATGAATTTGGATGATGATTAATATAATACAATAAACATTAAAAGTTAATTTATCAAAATATAGCAAACAATATCTGTAATAAAATAAAATTAACATATCATCTATGAATATGATTTGATGGTTATAAAGTCATTCATGTTAACCATAGATAGTATTAAAAACTCTTTAAATTAACAAATTGCTAATTTAACAATTAAATAATAATCAATATAAATTAATAAGTTTCATGGTTCCCATTATATTAATTTATAGAGGTTTTAATTATATAGGGAACAAATCAACAAAACAAAAATTAAAATATACAAATTTACGTTTTTCACTAATAC